TGAATTAAATATTATAGTGGGGGCGCCTGGGTGGCTCAGTTGGTTAAGCAACTGCCTTCGGCTCAGGTCATGATCTTGGAGTCCTTGGATCGAGTCCCGTATCGGGCTCCCTGCTCGGCAGGGAGTCTGCTTCTCCCTCTGACCCTCCTCCCTCTCATGCTCTCTGTCTCTCATTCTCTCTCTCTCAAATAAATAAATAAATAAATCTTTAAAAAATATATATATTATATTGGAAGGTGATAAGTGCTATGGAAAAAACAACCCTAGGAGTTGGAAGTAGAGACAGGCACATCATGAGTTGCAATTTTAATTAGAATGTTCAGGACAGAGAGAACCTGGGTGGCTTAGTCAGTTAAATGTCTGACTCTTGATCTCAGCTCAGGTCTTGAATGGTCAGGACAGGACTCACTGAGAGGACGGCATATAAGTAATGAAATTAGTCATGTAGATATCATGTGGAAAAGCTTTCCAGATATAAAGAACAGCTAGTTTGAAAATCAAATGTACTATATTTCAAATATGTCCTCCAGAAATGAAAGTTCTACAAAATATTGGCAAATTCCTTACCATGGTTATACTGGATGTGTTTAATGTGCATCCAAGTCCTGTTCTAATATCATTCTAAAAAAATATAATTTCTTAAGCTTCACTATCTAGAGAGGGAAAAGAACATCACATATATAATGGAAAAATAGTAATAACAGTAGCTATCATTGCTGAGTGTTTACTATGTGTGAAGTGTTTTACATACATTTTATTTAATTCTCACAAATCTCTATGAGAAGGGTATTATTGAGCAAAACACTGAGGCTTAGAGATATTGGGTATTTAGATGAGTTATCTCTAATGAGTAAACTGATTTTAGGGGTCCCTGGGTGGCTCACCCGGTTAAGCGACTACCTTCAGCTCAGGTCATGATCCCAGATCCTGGAATCAAGCCCCATGTCAGTCTCTCTGCTCAGCAGGGATCCTGCTTCTCCCTCTCCCTCTGCCTGCTGCTCTGCCTGCTTGTGCGGTCTCTCTCTCTGTCAAATAAATAAATAAAATCTTTAAAAAATAATAATAATAATAATAAAATAAACTGATTTTAATGTAGATAATTTCCTTAACACTACAGACTATAATACCTAAGCACTCCACTCCATGTGTATATATATATTTTTTTAAAGATTTTATTTATTTATTTGACAGAGAGAGACACAGCGAGAGAGGGAACACAAGCAGGGGGAGGGAGAAGCAGGCTCCCCGCAGAGCAGGGAGCCCGATGCGGGACTCGATCCCAGGACCCCGGGATCATGACCTGAGCTGAAGGCAGTCGCTTAACCAACTGAGCCACCCAGGCGCTCTCCATGTGTATATTTCTTAACCATTCTCCCCAAAAAGAGAGTTTCCTTTACCTGGCATGGATATGGAAAACACTAGCAGTTTTGAAATAAATTTACAAGATGAGAAAAATAATTTCTAAGAAACTTAGAAATTCCATTATTAGCAAAACATCAGATTCAATAGACTAAGTGGCAACATCTCTATTTCTAATTTAGTCAAGCAGAACATAATGCCAACCGGAAAGAAAACTACACAGCAAGGAAATAAATATAGCAGCTCTCATAAAGAAGGCCCACACCTCTTTCAATAACCACATAGTTCTGTAACTTGTATGAAGGCTAGTTCATCTCTTTCCCTACGGTTAATCACTGTTCCAATTATCACCTTAGGAGAAATAATAATACCTATAAAATTTCACTTTATAAAGAATTTGTGACACTTGCTGACTTAATAGGACAGTTTCAATCCAGCTTCACTGAGAGGTCAACCCAGCTACATGGCTAACTGGCTGGCAACCAAGACACATAACCTTTGTCCACTGTACATGATCTCTTTGTAATAAAGCAGACGTTTGAAGTAGTAAAAACTAGCAAACTTTCATTTGTCAACCAAATTCAACACACAAAAAATACAGACTTACTTGTCAAGTATAAAAGCCTTCTTTAACTCAAAGTCTCTTCTGGAAAATCTTCATCCTGGGAATCTTTTATTTCTCCTTCACTGAAAACAAGTTATCATTAAAGGGCATGTAAACCTTTAAGAACGAATACTAAAATGAAACTGAAATCAGCTGTTAGTCATATGTGGGATTTTCTCATCTAGTGATAAGAGAGTTTGTATCATTGCAAGTACAGTACACCCCTTTATAACTATCACATTAGGAGAAGGAATAACTTCTCCTCCTCTCATAGGTTGACTAGGTTACAAGGTTTTACTGTATTCAAAATTTAAGGTTTTTTTTAAGATTTTATTTATTTATTTGAGAGAGAGAGAGAGCACAGAGGGAGAGTGAGAGAGAGAAGCAGACTCCCAGCTGAGCAGAGAGCCTGACGTGGGGCTCGATTCCAAGACCCTGAGATCATGATCTGAGCCGTAGGCAGATATTTAACTGACTGAGCCACCCAGGCACCCCTCAAAATTTAAGCTTTAAGAAAATACAATTTGCCTCACTGCATATCCAAGTAGACAACAAGTGTTTGAAAAGGAAAGAGAGATTCTTACATTTGAAGTACTCTGATTATTTACAAAGTATTTTTAACTTAATCCTACCTACCTTTTTCAAACTGTATACCTTCTTAAACCCTATGCCCCAAGGACATGATTGTTGGTTTCTGTTCCCAAAATAAATACTACAGTTGTTCTATTTCCAAGCCTTTTCTCAAGATTATTTATTGTCTAGAATGCTCTTCCTACCTCCACCTACCTGATCAAGTTCTATCAGTCCTTTAAGAGTGAGCTCAAAACCCCACAACCTTTAAGCTTTTCCAGATATTCCCAATTAATTTGATTCTCCCCTTCCTACTTGCAATCCTATCACTTCAGCTATACTTCTCTAGGATTTACTCACAGGTACTTTAAAATAACATAATGTACGTCTCCTTTCTGGTTATAAGACTCTAGAAAGCCAACTATCATTTTAACACCCCCCATATGTCTACAATAATACTGTGCATACTATAGGTAGATGATAAATGATTATAAATACAACTGATCAGAATATAAAATCTTTGGGGTTTGGTTTTGTTGTTTTTTTTTACTTTTGGGGGAGGTTTGGTGGGCAGCAAAGTTTATTGAGCAATACAAAGCTCCCAAAGAGGGAGGGGACCCAAGAGAGTTGCCCAAAATCTTTCCTCTTACTTCTTAGAGAAGAGCTTAAACTTCAAGTCACATTACTAAACATATCCACAAAGACAATTTTGTATTAGCAGCCTAGATCTCTCTTCTGAGCTCAACCCATATATATCCAACTGTCTATCGATTTCTTTACCAGTATATCCTACAATCATCCCAATTTCAATTTGTTTAAACCAAGTTCACTACCCAACCTCTCTTCCCCCTCTTCTGTCGGTAGCTCCTTGTATGACTCAACTGAAGTCACTTAAGTTTTAAATTATTTGTTGGGTCCATTTGGCAGATGAAGAGCTTGGCAATGAATTAAAAGAAAGAGAGATGGAAGCCACAAGGGAAATTCTACATTAAAACAAAAAGTCAAGGGATAAAAGAATGGAACTGCCCACAAGTCCCGGAAATTACTGTTCCACCCTCTTCTCAAAGGTTTGTTGACTTTCCAGCACAAGGTTTTTTAAAAAGGAAAATGGGGGTAGCTTCCTGGCTGAATAGCCATTAAGTGATGGCTACGAATAAATAAAACTGGGAGTTGAAAATGCCTGATGTGGGGAATTTTGATCGTTCTTCCAAACATTTTTAAAAGGGCATATTGCCCTTTGAGCAAAGGTTTTTGAAACATTTTTCCATTAAAAGTACATCTTTGAAAAAAAAAAAAAAAGTACATCTTTGAGACACAAGGCAAAAAAATTTGTCACACATAAAACAGGTGTGTCTTTCAAGAAATCTGGAATATTAAACTAATGATTTGTAAAATAAATACTGTACAAATTAATAGTCTTTTCTTCAGAAATACCTGCAAAAAAGTGTTAAAATATGTTTCCTAAATTTTAGAACCACAGGTATGTGTGTCAATTTCTCACTTGTTTTGAAAAAGACTTGTTTTGAAAAAAAAAAAAAAGATTTCTCACTTGTTGGGACAGTGGATATGTCCTATATCTCTTTTGAGGTAGCTTACAGACAACTATCCTAACTCAATGAAATGGATCATAGGATTTCCTTCAGGTAAATTGTAAATCGTTTTTGTTGTTGTTGTTGAACAGGGACGGGTAATACTGGGATAGTCCACGCTTAGCAGATGAGAAAAGGACTCCTCGCGGAGAAAGTAACTCCTATCTTAGGGACGAAACTCCTCAAGGCCGATCTAGGTCTCTGGGCAGGAACAAAGCACAAGGAGGGAGCAGCAAGCTCCTTGAATCTAACGAGAAGGGGAGAAGCGTTGGGGCAAGGCAGCTAGGAACAAGGCTTCAGACGCTGAGCTGGGTTCACACAGCTGTCACCTGGCCAAGTCTCCGAATCTCCGTGTTTCATTTGTAAAACAGACATAAAAAGAGTGTCTTCCTCTTCATGTTGTTGCCAGGATTAAAGGAGAGTGTTTAGAAAAAGCACTTAGCATGGCAGTAAGCACGAAGGAAATACTAGTTGCCCCTACTTATTATAAAAGACAAAACAGGTTTCCACACACACACACATCGCCACTGCCTAAAAACAAGCCATCCTTCCCAGGATTTAGTGCTCCGTAACTAACCCCAAACCTGCCTGCCCTGCGCTCCACAAGACTTCCCAGGTTAAAACGTCTCTCGTCCACTGGGAAGAACTCCGCCACAAATTCTGTGGGAAGGCACCAGACTGTGACAGGCGACGGCGCTCGGCCAAGCGAACGCAACCTCGCCTCAAGACGCCTCCCGCCACGCGCTCTCGCCCGCCCCCCCGCCGCCTCCGCCCAAGGAGCTCGGGCCACATCAGGTGACCTCTGGCCCCGCCCCCAGCATGGCCGGCGCTTTCCCCTCCCGCCCCGGTCACGCTACGTCAGGCGACTGCCGGCCCCGCCCCGCCTCCTCCCCCGCACGGGCCTAATAACCAGTTCCGCGCTCGCGTCGACGCGCGCCGGCGGGCTGCAGAAGCAGATATGTCGGCTGTCCTGCAGCGCGTCGAGCGGCTGTCCAGTCGGGTGGTGCGCGTCCTGGGCTGTAACCCGGGACCCATGACCCTGCAGGGCACCAACACCTACTTGGTAGGGATCGGCACCAGGTAAACGTCCCCATTCCTCCCTAGCACACACCCCGGCCTGCGGGACCCACAGAGCTGGGGCTGGGACTACTGCTCGCCGGAAGCGGAGAGGCTGTGCGCCCATGCAACCTGGAGCTCAGCGTCCAGTCCGGGCCTGGCAGCCCCACCCAGGACCGCCCTGGGACGCCCCGATTCCAGGCCTCCCCCACATCACTGCAGAAATAATGAGGAAAGAGAAGCAAAACAAAACTTCCTGGTTTTGAAACCCAATTGACTTTGCCTAATGTTGAATGCCAGGGTGAGTGTTTAAGCTGTTGAGAAATCAGGATCGCCTGGAGTTAAAAATCCAGGAAAGCATTTACTTCGCTCACCTTCTGACTTTTCACCAGTGTTTTGCTCAGACTATAACTTGGCCTTCACAAAAGTGATTAATTGGGCTGAGGCCTTTTTCTTAACTCAGCAGCAGAGGGCAGGATTTTCTTGCTTCCAAATCGCTCGAGTCTGAAACACCAAGGATCCCCCTAGCACTTGGGAAAGAGGAGCGGACTGATTTTGGGTTTTGTTGCTATTGTGTAGCCTCATTTATTTTTGCAGATGGAATAACCTATCTGTATTTCTATTTTTCTCTTGTTCAGCTGCATTGTTTTAGTGTAATTATGCAGAAGTGGGGAGATGTGGTGTACTGCACCAATGTGCATTGAACAGTTTTTATATGCTTGGTCTTTAGTATACCCTACACAATACAAAATAAAAATAAGATACAGTTCCCTTTAAGCATAAAATTTAAGTGTATATTTCAAGATGTGTTAAAATTAATATAACTGATTTCTAGAAAACAGTTTAATAGTAATTTTAGTTTTCATTTGAAGTATCTGCTGTATTTGCCTTTTTCCAGTAAATCAGAATTTTAGATGGAGCAGGATGCAGGAACTGGAAGTACTGAAGTCGGACAGGCAGAAGTTAGGTTCAGAATAAACAAGGCAGGGTCAAGTAAGTACAGGAGCTTAGGCTGCCTCCAGAATCTAGGAGGATAGAGAATTCAACAGAAAAAATACTTTATATCTAGAGTAGAGTCCGTCTTGCCTGGGACTCCCACACCCCCAAAGTCCATAGGCGTTCTCTTCTCTATTCAGCGTGTCATGTTAAACTAGTTCTAATGTCAGTACCTATTATAAACATTGAATATAGTCAAAATTACCCTAAGAAGTCTCTTAGGAGGCACTGCGTTGGAGATCGTGTACAATCACAATAAGTTAGGTGCAGCCTGCTTTTTCTTCCAGCAATGAAGCAAATGGCTGGTTCTGTTTGAAAACCAGATGAAGTTGGCTTGCATTTAGGGGCCATGTTATATGAAAAATGCATACTGTATCTTTAAACACTAGAACCACATTCAGTGTAGCAAAGTGCTTGTGCTAAAAGAGACATAAAGAATCTGATGACTGAGGGAAGACATTCATGGTCTCCCACTTTACACTGCTTCCACTACCACTGGCATAAACTCATGGGATGGAGTGGCCAGTGGAATTAGTCATATGTGACATATATGTCATGAATACATATAGTTGAGCTAGAATAAGTTAATGTGTAGATGATGGTACTCTACTGTATAAAGTAGAAGTCAGGTGGCAAGAGATGAATATTGGGTCCAAGTAAGAGGTTCAGATATTGGTATCCACCTGTTCTGCTCAAAACAGTTTCAAGATCACAGGTGGCTCCTATATTACCAAATCCAATGGCATTTTTCCATTCCCATTGTATTTGAACTTCAGTACCTTTGACACTGTTGACCAATCCCTCCTTGATTTGCTAACACCACATTCTTCCTAGTTTACTCTTACCTCTCTGGCTGTTCTTTCGCAGTCTCCTTCATGGAATCAACCTCTTCACCTGATCTTTAAGTGTGTGAGTTCCTCAAGATGTAATCTTAGTCTGTCCTGTTCTCATGCTATATTCTCTACCTAGGTGATCTTTTCGACTTCCTTGGTGTCCAACTTCCTCTTCTGCTCAAGAAACTGTAAAAGCTGCAATTTTAACCTTTACTATCAAAATTGTAACTCCCTGGAGGCAAATAGTTTATCTTTAAATAGAAAAAGGCAGTCTAGTGTAGTAATTAGAGTTAAGACTCTATACTCTGATTACCTAAATCCGAATCCTAGCTTATGACTTTAGACAAGACAGTTGATTCTCTAAGCTTCAGACTCCTTATCTGTACCATGAGGATTGAATAGCACCCACCTCAAAGGATGTTATGAGGATTCAGTGAAATTTAAATGAAAAATCATATCAAAAGCACTTAACAAATTCTAGCATATGGAAAGCATACCATAATGTTAGCTGTTATTATCACTTCTTCCATCACAGCATCCAGACAACACTGGGTTCATGGTAGATGCTCAGAAAATACCTAATGATTTGCATCTTATAATGAATATAACACAGTATCTTGTACACGGTAATCATTTGTTAGAATTTGAACTGAACTTACTCAATAAACATTTATTGTGCCAGGACTGTTCTAGACAACTGGGGTTACATCAACAAACAATTAATGGTTCATTCATAGTAGCTCAGACTTGATTTTATCATCTCTTTTCTTCCTCCTCTTCCTCCTCTACCAGAATCGGGGGGTTGTTAATCTGAAGTCTATGGTCCCAAAAACGATATAATTCAGAGAGTTTGACCTTAGCTGGGGGGAAAAAATTATACCATTATTAATCTCAGACTGAAAATTAGCCTTTATTCAATCATGAATATGGACAACAAACCATAGTAGTAATAGCAGTACCTGTGATTTTTTTCTCTAATATTCTCATCGCATATTGCGATCATGATAGATACCTCAAAATGGTACGTATATTCATCTCCATTTAGAAACTATGATCATTGGGGAGCCTGGGTGGTTTAGTTGGTTAAGTGTCTGCCTTCAGCACAGGTCATGATCCCAGTGTCCTGGGATCAGGTCCCATGTCAGGTTCCCTGCTCAGCTCAGCAGGGGGCCTGCTTCTCCCTCTTCCTTGGCCTGCTGCTCTACCTACTTGTGATATGGGCATTGCAGTTAGAAAAGTGTGGAATCAAATGTATCCTGTGCTGGAGTTCATGACTCTAGGCAAATTACGATATTACATATATGTCTAACTTGTCAAGGCCTCAGTTTCCTCATCTGTACAATGAGAGTAAAATCTCGGGATTGTTTTGATGATTAAATAAAAATAAAGCCACTACCTTATTTATTCATCCAACAAACATTTATTATCTAGTACATGCCACCGTCTAGATTCTGGCAAAACCAGACCAGGTTCCTTCCCCCGTGGAGCTTAAATTTGTAGGCTGTGGGAGGGTGTGGAGACAGGCAATAAATTAATAAACATGTAAATATATAATATGTCATATGGTAATAAGTCCTATGAAGAAAAAGCAACGGAAGATGGCTGGCAACATCATCAAAATTCATTGTGACCCAAACCACGTTTATCTCAAATTTGCTCCCTCCAGTGTTTTATAGTCTTGGTTAATGACACACCAGTCATCTCACCTAGAAACCTCAAAATCATCAATTTTTTTCCCTTCCCTTCCACATCCAGTTGTTTAAAAAAAAAATCCTGTTGATTGTGCCTCCTAAATGTTTTTTAACCATCTCCTCCTTATATTTCCACTGCCTACAGAACCTCATAATGCATTCATGGGCCAGTATATCCATCTAGTTTCCCTGTCTCCAGAAGGGACAGTTATAACTCTGTGTACTTGTAAAGTAGAGCCATTGCCCTGTGGAATTTAAGGTGTAGATAAAAGCCTGTGGACCACAAGGCCATTGTCCCCACCTCTCCACCCCACCCCCTCCCCCATGACAGGACAATTTGTTTTTATTGGCTGTGCGTCTCAGGGAATAGGGTTAGGGAAACAAACCATCCAATATAAAATAGCCATCCAGATACTTCGGGTCATATTTACCCCATTTGAATGTTCTGCAGAATGCCGTTTATCTGTCACTATTACTGTTGGTTTTCATAGGTCCCTCTCCCCACTTTCCACTAGAATGCAAACAGGATTTTTTTGTCTTGCAAGAAAGACATGGCACATAGTAGATAATTCATACAGTTATTAATGTATTACAGTATTAATGAGTGAATGACTGAGACTTTTCATCAAGACTAATCTTCCCTCCCCCAACCTGAATTAGGGAGATGTTATTGTGAAGCAGCCTGAATTAAAAAGTTTGTGAGTTGGTTCTTGAGGAGGAAGATGTCCCCCTTCTTTTTTAGTTCAGGAAAACTTTATAGAGAAAGACCATCATCCTGTGAAATAGTGAGGAAGGGCATACAAAGTATAAAGAAGGTTCAGAACCACAAGCAGAAAAATATAACTAATGGGTTGTCTAGGTAAAGAAATAAAGCAATTCAGACATTTCCCCATGCTTCCCTACTCCTTTCATTTTCACGTGGAAGGAAGCCAATGTAAAACTTTAGTAATAAGTTTTGTATGTAGCGCAGAAGACTAGGTTTCTTTAGGAATACCACTGAATCTAATTCTTTCATATCTATGAGACATTTGAGTATGTTGTAAAAGATCTCAGAGGCAGAGTGGATAAAAACACATATTCTAGAGACAGAATACCCAGGTTTGAATTCTGGTCTTGCCGTTTATTTGCAGAGTAACCTTGGGCAAGTTGTACAATGAAATACCTCGTTTAAATAGTTGTGATGAGGAACACAATTGTTAAAATACATAAGGTCCTTGGAATAGTGCCATATTTGAGTGCTGTATAAGTATTCAATATTATTGTGCCTTGAATTTGCCAAGTTCAGACTTACATGGAGCTATAAGATTTTTTCAAAAAACTTTTCTTAGATTACTATAGTGAAATATATTAAGGTGAAATATCATATAGCTGGTTTTCAAGCAGGTTGAAAGCCAAGCAATTTATGCAGTTTCTTAAATATAATATGAATTATCTGTGTGAGAAATATGCTACTATTAATTCTGTGTTCCAATTGTGTGATTATCATCCATTTAATTTTCAGGAGAATCCTCATTGACACTGGAGAACCAGCAATTCCAGAATATATCAGCTGTTTAAAGCAGGCTCTGACTGAATTTAACGCAACAATCCAGGAAATCATAGTGACTCATTGGCACCATGATCATACTGGGGGCATAGGAGATATTTGTAAAAGCATCAGTAATGGTAAACAGAAAACATTAATTAAGCTCTTTGAGGAAAACTGTGTTTTCAGAATAATTTATTTCTGTTACAGAAGTAAGTAAGCTAGTCAGTCATTTACTGAATACCTTATATACTTACATGGTACTTTTAGAAATTAATATACTTTTAATACTGCCCCCAATTTTAACAAAAGAGGAAAGGAAAAGTCCTATTTTCTATTTCAGATCTCTTATCCCTCTTATTTTTCCCTTTGCCAGGGATGAAGGTCAGTTTGAATTTTGTCTGTAGGAGTAGGAGTGATGATGGCTACTTCCGAGTTAATAATAACTAACCACTCTTGAGCATTTACTGTGTGCCAGGCACTGTGCTAAACGCTCTACGCGGGTACTGGGAGGTAGCTGCTGTTACTGTCCACACTCTAAACCTGATCTTAGGTCTTCCATAACTTTAAGGCAATTGCTATGATACACTAAAATGCTGGTGAAAGATCATTGTATTGATAATTCTCCGTCCCTGAAACCTATTCAGTACTGACACCTTACCGCCTCTCTCCTTATACCCCCATATTACCATCACACAAATAGATTCATTCATTCCTTCCTTCCTTCCTTCAACAAATACTCAAGTGACCACTCTGTCCAGGCACTGTTCTTGGCACAAGGGATGTGGCAGTGCACAGAACAAAGACTCTGCTCTCATAAAGCGTGCTTTCTAGTAGGGAAGGTAAATGGTAAGTACGTAGTAGGTCAGATGGTGATAGGTGCTATGAAGAAAAATAAAGCTAAGTGAAGAAAAAGGGGAGAGAAAATAAAGTGGGGGAAGGGCAGTGGCTTGTATCTAGGGTGGATAGGGAGAAGAGAGTAAGCTATACAGGTATCCGAGAGGAGGCTATACCAGACAGAAGACATTGCAGGAGTAGAGATACTGGAATCGGGCTGTGCTTGGCAAGTTCGGGGCATATGAAGGACAGGAAGTCAGGAACATTCATTCACAAAAGGAACATACATACGCATTCAACTCGTGTTTTTAAATATTTTTAAATGTCTTCCTTTTAGGACTTGAGACTACAGTTGGGACACCAAAGTGTTATCAACCAAAGCACCCAATATCACCAGGCTGCCCATTACGAAAAACGCTCTAACCTCACTTTGTTACCCTCTTAACCTCCTTTCTTACAATCCTAGAGGACTATATGCCACAGGAAATCGTTATCTTTCAGTCTAACTTTTCCTCACCTTTCTCTTGTCTATCTACCAGTAAATTCTGTGAATTAAAAAACTATGCTGAAGGTTCTTGACTAGCTTTGGCCAACTCTTTTAGCATGAGTTTTAATTTAATGTTAAACATTTTAAATGTTTATGGCCTACTTTTTCTCCTTCATAAATCAACTTTATTGAGCTTGAATTGACATACATAAAATGTACCCATTTTAAGAGTATAGTTTGATAAACACCTTTGTGACGGATCCAGTCAACATAAAGAATACTCTCATGACCCCAAAAAGAGGTCTCCTGGTGCCTCTCTGCAATAATCCCTCTCTAGCAACCACTGATCTGCTTTATTTTACTATAGATTAATTTTGCCTTGCCACATAATGGAAGCATACAGAATCACTCTCTAGCTTCTTTCACACAGCATCATGTTTTTGAGATCACCTATGTTTCCGTAACAATAGTTTGTTCCTTTATTGCCAAGTGGTAATCCATGGTAGGACTATACCAGGATTTGTTTAACCATTCACCTGTTAATAGACACTTAAGCTATATATTTAAATTAAAAATTAGGGGCACCTGAGTGGCTCAATTGGTTAAGCGTCCGACTCTTGATTTCAGCTCAGGTCATGATCTCAGGGTCATGAGATCGAGCCCTGCATCAGGCTCCACGCTCAGGGAGGAGTCGGCTTTAGATTCTCTCCTCCTCCCTCTGCTCCTCCCCCTGCTCACACTCTCTCTCTCTCTCTCTCTCTCTTTCTCCTTCTCTCTCTCTCTCAAATAAAATCTTTTTTAAAAAATTTAAATCGTTTGGGTTCCATACAAAATAATGAATATTTGTATAATAGATTACCTGTTAGGTTGATTTAAAGAAAGCCAAGGAGAAATTTGACCCTGCTCTGTAGCCACTAAAATTTTAATACTTTGAGAAGTAGCTTGTTGACTTTCAATCTGAACTTTATTGAAGCTAGACCAGCTGCATACAGACCTTGAGTTGCTCAGCACTGAAATCGTGCAGAGGTTACCTTTCAGAACCTCCCAAGAGTCCATGTACTTCTTCATTCTCTAAATCCTTAATCGCTAGCATTCTTGTTCCATTTTGTTTTATTATTTTCTTTGCTCCAGATCGTTTTACTACTTAATTATTAGTATGGCAGAAACTTTTCAGCTGCTTTATGATGCTAACAACTTGTGGTTTTACAGGCAACACCAAAATTATGAATGCCAGTTATAAGATTTCTATGAGAAGATACAGCAACCTACTTTCAAAAGTTTAAGATATAATCAGTGTATAATTCCAGAACTCCCAGTGGCTGGCAGGAAGCCAGAATTTTACTAGACATGAGAACTATATAGCCCCAGGCTGCCCCCAGTGTTTTTGGTTTGTTTTTGAGTAAATCTTACAAAATACATTTTTGTGATCATGATAGTTGTTATTTTGCAGCTGAAGTTGGATCTTTGCCATGTATTTCACATTCCGGTCCTAGGAGTCAAATGTTTGCTTCTATGCCATTCAATTAGATTGTGTTTTCATTAGAAAGTAGTATAAGCAGGGTGCCTGGGTGGCTCAGTTGGTTAAGCGACTGCCTTCGGCTCAGGTCATGATCCTGGAGTCCCGGGATCCAGTCCCACGTCAGGCTCCTTGCTCAGCAGGGAGTCTGCTTCTCCCTCTGACCTTCCTCCCTCTCATGCTCTCTATCATTCTCTCTCTCTCTCAATAAAAAAAAAAAGAAAAAGTATTATAAGCAATATCACATGTTTGTATCAGCTTCAATAATTAGCATTAAGAATAATGTTATAAGCCATTATTCAAACCTTTAACAAGTGACTGAGGGTTTCCTCCTGTTAAAATAATCATATGATAGAGACAAAGTAGATAAGTGATTGCCAGAGGCTGGTAGGAGGAGAGAAGAGGGAGTGATACAGTTGGGTAAAGGGTTTCTTTGAGGGGTTTGAAAATGTTACAAAATTAGATAGTGGTGATAGTTATACAGTTCTTTGGATATACTTTAAAAACACTGAATTGTACTCTTTGAAAGGGTGAATTTTATACTGTTGAGTTATATCTCCATAAGCTTTTATTAAACATAATAATAATTATTATATGATTGCTTTCAGCATGCCCTTCTCCCTCCTGCCTATACAGACTGTTACTGTGAGTAGGATATGTGTTTTCGTATTCGCACATAACTTTTTTTTTTTTTTTTTTTTTAAGATTTTATTTATTTATTTGAGACAGAGAGAATGAGAGACAGAGAGCATGAGAGGGAGGAGGGTCAGAGGGAGAAGCAGACTCCCTGCCAAGCAGGGAGCCCGATGCGGGACTCGATCCCAGGACTCCAGGATCATGACCTGAGCCGAAGGCAGTCGCTTAACCAACTGAGCCACCCAGGCGCCCCCGCACATAACTTTAAAAACTGACACAGGTTATTTTATAGTATAACATTTGTTTTGTAATTTTGAGATAATGGTGAGTTTTTTGGGAGGAGTGTGTGCCGGAGGTCTCATAACTAGAAATATAATACCTCTAACTTCTTTACTAAAAGAAAAATTATACAGATTAAAAATAAACACATACCAGAAAACCTCCCCATCTCACTCCAGAATGAAGACAGCCTTATTATGTAATGCCAGTTCCCAGAATAGCATATTATTTTTTGCTCCAGCCTCTAAGATACAAAATAATGGAGTTTGGGGCTGGAGAGAGAAGGTCTAGTCCCAGTTGTTTTATTTTATTTTTATTATATTTGCAATATTTCTGTCTCCTTTATCTTCCATACTAGCCTGACTTCTGTGCCTTGTCAGTTTTTCTCTGAATGTCTTTTTCTCCCATATTTCCGTTGCTGTCATCTTAGTTCTAATATTCACATCCTTCCGGCTGAGTTATTAGTCACCCCCTCCTGGTGTTTCTGATCTCTCGCCCTCCAGTATCCCACCTAGAGCTGCCATATTGATCAACTAGTTAACACTATTTCATTTTCTTTCTAAAGAGTGTACAATGGTGCACATATGGTAGAGTTTAAATTCCTCTATTCCAGGGCACCTGGGTGGCTCAGTTGGTTAAGCATCTGCCTTCAGCTCAGGTCATGATCTCAGGGTCCTGGGATCGAGCCCCACATCAGGCTCCCTGCTCCGCGGGAAGCCTGCTTCTCCCTCTCCCACTTCCCCTGCTTGTGTTCCCTCTCTCGCTGTGTCTCTCTCTGTCAAATAAATAAATAAAATCTTTAAAAATAAATAAATTCCTCTATTCTATGAAAGGCAATTTAAGGCCTTCCATGATCTGAGCTCATCTAATCCCACTTTATCTCCACTTCTCAGCCAGTGTTTTGCATTGGACAAATTGGTAGCATACTTTGTTGCACGTATGCCACGCTCATTGTCATTTCTATGCTTTTCCTAATGCTGTTCCCCTTACCTACAAATCATTCTCTGTACCATTTCCCAAACCACTCATCTTGTAAGCCACACTTCAAGTTCTGTCATATTTGTGAATTTTTTCCTAATTGTTTTCCTTTCTCTAAACTACTATGGCTTTTATTAGCTGAATTGCCCCTTTAGTATTCATTAAATGGTTCTTAGTATAGTTCTGTATTTATTTATTTGTAAGTTTTATTTCCCCAACTGTGATAGTTTTTAAGCACTTTAATGTCACCATGCTTGTATTCACTGTATATAGTATACTTGGCACCCAGCTATCGATTGGTTAATTGATTTTCTTTGTGTCAGTGAGAGGTAGTATGGGTTAAATTTATTTTAATGGTTTAATATCTTTGTCCTGGGTTTGGGGCTTCCTTTCAGCATTCACAGAAAGAACATTATGCTATCATCCTTTTATTACTAAGTACTGCCATGATGCCATGACTTCTTTTACTATCTGCTAAGACTAGACAGAGAAACGTTCCCCGGTTCTGTATTGCTGCCTCTTCAACACCCATCTTGATATCAAAGCTAGCCGAGATTATGATGAACTACTTTCAAACTTTTATATAAAATAAGAGTGACTAGAACAAAAAGGTGTAGACCTAGAAGTGCATGAGAGAATAAAAAGCTCTTTTGTTGAGGTAGAAAAAATAGTTCAAATTCCAGAGATAGGCTGCTGTAACCCATCCCGTTTTCTCTTGTCTCTTTTTTTTAAAGATTTTATTTACTCATTTGAGACACAGAGATAGAGAGAGAGCATGAGCACTGGGAGAGGCAGAGGGAGAGGAAGAAGCAGACTCCCTGCTGAGTCAGGAGCCCGATGCGGGGCTCGATCCCAGGACCCTGGGATCATGACCTGAGCCGAAGGTAGACGCTTAACCATCTGAGCCACCCAGGCGCCCCTCTCTTGTCTCTTAATGTTAATATTTTTTGCAGTCATTCACAATGTTAGCTCTATGAAAGTTGATCTCTTATTTTTTTTTGTTTCCATAGAAAAATTTAAAGAGAGTCAACTTTTAATGAAATCAGATATTAAATATGAAATGACAAAAGTGCAAAATTGAACAAATAGGTAGACTGCAGACTTAGAGGAACAAAATCATGACTCGAGCTACAGTGTTACAAAAGCAAGGAGTTTGAAACAGGACAGAATAAAAATGGCTGAAATAAATTAATGGGGTAGAGAAAGGGCTTAATAAATTACTGTAAAAACCAAATACGAGAAAAAGATTAGGAGAGAAAGTTGATCTCTTAAAAGGCTGAATTATCACTTAAAGTATGACTTAATATATTTTACATGTTTTGTTACTAGACACTGCATATTGCATTAAAAAACTTCCACGGAATCCTCCGAGAGAAGAAATTATAGGAGATGGAAAGCAACAATATGTTTATCTGGAAGATGGAGATGTGATTAAAACTGAAGGTGCCACTCTCAGGTCAGTAAATGTCCTTTAGCTAGGGAAGGGCAGGGGGAGGTTATGTATGTGTCTTATAAAAAGGGAGTAAAGGAAGATTTTTGAATATTTGCTTATATGAGTGAGGAATATCTCAGGAAGGATATATAAAAGATCTGATAACATGGTTACTCTGGAAAGAAAAACCAGGTTGCTTGAGAAATAGGAGAAAAGAAAGACTTTTCACTCTACCCTTTTAAAATTATTTGTTTGAATTATATGATTACCATTTTTTAAATAAAATTTAAATTAAAAAATAAATTAGCATTTCCTGTTAGGATGGTTTAGGGCTCTACTCATCAGTTAAATTCAGGACTTTCTCATGCTCTCAATTCCAAAAGATGACCTAAAGTAAATACATTTTAGGCCAGACCCCTAATCTCCCATGACCTAAGTGAGGTCGAAAAGTTGTTTCAAACTCAGTAATTTTAAAACTGAACTACTTAGGTTTCTCCTCTGTCCCCCATAATCTACTTGCTTTCTGACTTCAGAACACCTACTGCTCTCAGCACTTAAGATTTTATTTTTTCTTCTAAGATAGAAGCTGGTTCCACTTCACCTTTATCACTCCCCCTTTTCCTGCCCACCACATCTAATTGTGTTAGATTTTACCTTAAAAATACTGGTCCATACTGTCCCTTTTTCTTCATGTCCACTACCATTACTTCTTGTTTAATATTCCTGTCTCCAGGCTTCCCTTTCCAGTTCATACCCCGTGTCACTTGAAACCTTGAATAACTCTCATTGCATACAAGATCATGTTTATTCTCCTTACCATGTTGCTATCTGGCCCCAAACCACTTTTCTGGTCCAATTTCCTACCACTGCCATTGTAAACACAATTAGCCATATCCAAATACCTGGACACGTTATGTATGTTCATGCCTTCGCTCATGCCCCACCCCCCTTTACCAGGTAGGCATCACGGCTTTCCCCCTACTGTCTCCTTCATAAATTCTTACCTATTCATTCTTCAGACTTCAGTTCACATGTTACTTACCTCAAGAACCCTTTCCAGGCAGAATTAACTGCTCCCTCCTCTGACTTTTTTTTTTTTTTTTTAAGATTTTATTTATTTATTAGAGTGTGAACGAGCGCGAGGGAGGGAGGGAGGACAAGCTAAGGGGGAGAGGCAGAGGGAGAGGGAGAAGCAGATTCCCCAGTGAGCAGGGAGCCTGATGCGGGGCTTGATCCCAGGACCCAGGCACCCCTTTCCTCTTCTACCTTTCGTATAACTTTTATTATTTTATCATAGCACTTATTAAATTGTATTGTAATCTAAGTCTGTAAGTAGGTATCTCCATAAAAGGTAATCAACCCCTTAGGTTCACAGTATTAGTTAATGCCAGTTGCTGTAGCAAACCGACCCCAAAATGTATAATGGTTCATACATGAAATAAGTTTTCCTCCCAGTTACATAACATCCAGGAAAGGTTCCTGACTATCAAGTGGCCCTGCTGCAAATAATGTTTCAGACACCTTCCATCTTGTGATTCTACCGTCCTCAATAGTTGGTTTCAAGGTCGCTTTGTTCACCTCAGTCAGTCCAGTGGGTGACAGAGAGGGAGCATGGAAGGGATCTTTCACGGGAGGCTTTCACAGACCAGACCTTCTGTTGCATTGGCTGTAAATTCAGTCATAGGCCACCCCAGGCTGGGAAGAAGAGTTGAACTTCATGCCCAGGAAAAAGAGGAAGGAGGTTTGATGATAAGTTAGCTATTCTCTGATACACGGCAGATGCCAGATTCATCTTCAGATCCTCAGTCCCTGGCACATAGAAGGCACTGAATATTTATCCAACATGTAGTAAATATCTACAAAGAGGGGAGTAGATTAGCAGGTGAATGAGAAAGAGAAGATGAAGAACTGGGTATCCATGCCCCCTTTTCGTTCCCTTTTTCCTAGTATGCTATCGATTTGTAAATTTAATTTATAAACCCAACTAATTTCTGGGTAATCTTCTTAAAATGTTCTTGTTGGAAATATGATGTGTCTCCTATAATTTGTTCATGATGCCAAAAGATAATAAACATTACATAACTAATTCTTCAGAGAGTATTCTTGACAATATTGAATTTCCCCCATCACACATTAAAGATCTATCTCAAAGGCTTGGGAATCACAGTACTAGTTTATTAGTTATCACAGAATCATGGATATTAGATCTATACCTAATTTGCAGATTAAGAACATTCGGCCCTTGGTAGTTAATTACCACCCATCTGCCATAAACAGCCAATATATTTTAAGCTTTTTAAAAAAAAAAAAAAGATTTTATTTATTTATTTGAGAGACAGACACAAGCAGGAAGAAGGGGCAAGGGGAGAGGGAGAAGGACAAGCAGACTCCCCACTGAGCAGGAAGCCCAATGTGGGGCTCAATCCCAGGACCCTGGGATCATGACCTGAGCTAAAGGCAGATGCTTAACTGACTGAGCCACCCAAGCTCCCCTATTTTAAGCTTTTTATTAAAGTATACAAAAAGAAAAGTGTGCATATCATCTGTGTGCAATGTGGTGAACTATTACAAACTGAACAAATCATTTAAGCAGCTTTCAGATCAAGAAACAACAACATCAGGGGTGCCTGGGTGGCTCAGTTGGTTGAGCATCCGACTCTTAGTTTCAGCTCAGGTCATGATCTCAGAGCCATGAGCTCGAGCCCCATGTCGGGGTCTGCACTCACCATGGAGTCTGCTTAAGGCTCTCTCTCCCCCTACCTCTGCCCCTCCCCACTCTGTCTCTGTTTCTGTGTGTGTCTCTATCTAAAATAAGTCTTTTTAAAAATGACTTAGTAAATAACCTTTTCACAAAAATAAATTATACTAGAATTTGAATAAAACATTTAGTTTACTGATGACAGATACTTTCCAATTTCCATTTTTATAAAGTCAGTAAAACCCAATTGTTTTAAATATTAACAAGAAGATTCATCATTAAGCAAAAGTTCCATAAACAGAAGGTTAAAATATACTTAAGTCCTCAAGTATTTGATGTCCAGTTGATCTGGTCTGTTTGCCAATTTGGGGGGGGGGGGAATACATTAGCGATAGGGACAATACCCACCAAGAACCCTTTAGTAAAAAAAGTAGGAAGCAGATTTTTCAGTAGGATTTGATTGAATATAACCTTCAAGAATTTTCTAGTGACCTAAGTCCCATTTTTCAAAAGTCAGTCTGACAGCTTTTGTTGACTGTTCTAAACCTTGTAAGGGAGCCATCTTTATAAAGTCTACTCTTATCACAGAAGTGGCAGAACTGGATAAATGTGCCACCTGATGAATGGGGAGGCCACAGCTGCAGTTCCTCTGATCTTTAGCAAAGCACCTCTGATGTCATCTCCTTTTTTCCTCCTGCCTATGTGAAGTGAATTTTAATACAGTTTTTATGCAGATTAAAGCATTAGCTACCCAGGTGACTGGAGAATTAGAATTTCTGATCCCCTCATTTAAGAAATCTATTGCCTTGGTTATCAAAGAAAACCATTACTGAGGTCTGGAGTTGGAGGAGGGGGTACAAATAAAGGATGCACTGCAAGCACATCAATGGATAAGACAGTCTGCAGACTCTGAAAAAGAGTGGTTCTCCACATGAGTTTTTGTAGATTGAAAAATATTGGGGGTCTGTTTGTAAACACATTGTATGTGTGATTGTTCGTAAGATTGTCCGTGAGATATGAGACACACCCACACCCACATATTCTTAGTCATGGAAATATGCCTCCTGAAATTATTTTCATGTAACATTGAATACTTTCATCAATAGGTTGCAACAGGTTTAATCAAACAAAAGAGATGTCTCCATATCACATTTTACTTTCCCTTTTCCAGAGCTGGAGCCAGCCATGTCTGCAAGAAGCCCTGGTTTCTTTGAGTGGGAAATGGTATTTCAGTTCCCTCCAGAACTAAGTGTCAGGTGTGCTCATGACTACTGGAGTATCATTACTTCTGGGCCTTTTATAGAGCTAGGAAAAAAATGAAATGATGAATTCATAAGGATTCCTCAATTCAGATGAGAACCCAGAACCTTAATTCCCTCATTCATACATTTTTTTCCCTTATCCCACAGTAAAAACCTTGGTTGTCAACATCAATTTATTGTTTATACTCTTGCGCAGTAAACACAAAATAGTTTCAGAAACACAGTAACCAGTAACACTGCCAACAATAAACCTATTAAGTAAAGTTCAAAATATCTTTCTACTTCTTTTAAACTTAAGATACATTCTATTAAGGATATATAATCTTAGTATTTAAAAATTATTTGAATTAATATTAGCATGGCTGTGTTAATCTATCCCGTATATAGTAAGATTCATTTCTTTCTGTATTCAGTGTTAACATTTTCTTTCGTTTTTTTAGTTTTATGTTTATATATTTACATAGCTCAAAAGTTAAAACTAATAAAGTTACAAGAGAAGTCTTGCTTACATCTCTGTTCCTTACATCCCATCTGCCTACCCCTACAGGCAGTTATAATTCATTAGTTTTTTATCTTCCCTTTGTTTTTGCAAAAATAAGGAAATATATACATATACATTTTTATTTCCCCAGCTTTTTTTTTTAAGATTTTATTTATTTATTTTTTTTAAAGATTTTATTTATTTATTTGACAGAGAGAGACACAGCGAGAGAGGGAACACAAGTAGGAGGAGTGGGAGAGGGAGAAGCAGGCTCCCCGCAGAGCAGGGAGCCCGATGCGGGACTCGATCCCAGGACCCTGGGATCATGACCTGAGCTGAAGGCAGTCGCTTAACCAACTGAGCCACCCAGGCGCCCTATTTCCCCAACTTTCTTATACAAAAGAGCAACTATAAACATTCTTTCATGCTTTGTTTTGATTTGTTTTAAAGAGAAAAGCACTTGTTAGCATTTAATGAACATCCCTCCCCCGTGGCTTCAGGACCCAGCCCCCACACACACCCATGGATTTTCTGCTCAGCTCTTCTACTGTCCTGTCTTCAGGATGACAGGCTGTTTTAGGAGCTTTCCCTTCCCCAAAACTTTGTAGTAGCCTGATCATACCACATCAACGATAGGAGCAGCTCCAGTCAGGCACACCGGCCTGTGTGTCTCAGAGGTCCGAACCCCAGGCCAAACACGCCACCCTGCCCTGAGACCCACCTTGTGTGGCCTGGAAGACTGAACTAAGGTCAGGGGTGGGTAGTTGGGGTGCAACACAAGCACAGCTCGCAGCCTGCCCCAGCAACAAAGCAGAGGCACGAAAAGAACCATGCTTGGTTGTTTTTTACCACTTACCAATATATGCTGCAAATGATTCCATATCAGTTCACAGAGATCTTCATCATCTTTTTGATGGCTGCTGCATCATACTCCATGGTATGGTTGTACCACAGTGTGTCCATAGTGTCCAATCATGGGTATCTGGGTTGTTCCTGTATTTTCTTATAAATAATGTAATGAATAATTTATATATGTATTTTGTATTTGTGAACGTGTATTTTCAGGGTAAATTTCTAGCTGTGGGACCAGTGGGTCAAAGGGTTATGTAATTTTGTTAGAAAATGCCAAATTCCCCTCCACATGTGCTATTACCGTTTTGCTCTCCCCACAGCAACTTACGAAAGTGCTTTTTTCTCACAGTCTTGCCACAAAGTATATTGTAAAATAAACATGTATGCAAAGAAAATTGAAAAAAAAAGTTTTTAAATAGTAAAAGCACTGTCTCTGAGTAGTGGAATGATTGTGAATTCATATCTCCTTTAAGTATTTTCCTTTCTGTTTTCAAAATTTGCTGTAATCGGTGCATGCTTATTATTTATAAAATAAAAAAAGGTGGGAAAAGTATTGAATTTGTACTTCAGAGTAGGAAATCTGATTTAAAGGAGCAAATTTTCTGATGATAATTTCTGTGGGCCACAAGAGGAGGAGTTTTTTAACCTATTTGACATCACTTATTTGTGTCATATCCAGAGATAAGGCTGGAGAATAATTTCTTCTAAGCCTAAGAGTTTCTGATTTTTACTATTTCTTCGTTTCCTTTTAACCAGAGTTATACACACACCTGGCCACACTGATGATCATATCGCTCTACTTTTAGAAGAGGAGAATGCGATCTTTTCTGGAGATTGCATCCTAGGGGAAGGAACAACTGTATTTGAAGACCTCTATGATTATATGAACTCCCTAAAAAAGCTATTGAAAGTCAAAGCTGATATTATATATCCAGGTGGGTAGTTGCTTAAATCTAGCAAACCATTTGTGTGAAATGAGGAAGAAGGTTCATTTTGGTTTGTCCCTGTGTGTGTGTGTTCTTTATGTTTTCAGGGTTTGAAGAGCTACCCATAAAGTGCTTCTTTAAATTATGCCCCTAGGGGCACCTGGGTGGCTCAGTCATTAAGCGTTTGCCTTCAGCTCAGGTCGTGATCCCAGGGTCCTGGGATCGAGCCCCGCATCGGGCTCCCTGCTTGGCGGGAGGCCTGCTTCTCCCTCTCCCTCTCCCCCTGCTTGTGTTCCCTCTCTCACTGTGTCTCTCTCTGTCAAATAAATAAAGTCTTAAAAAAAAAAAGCTGGAGAGTTAGGGGTGCCTGGGTGGCTCAGTCGGTTGGGTGACTGACTCTTGACTTTGGCTCATGGCTCAGGTCATGATCTCAGGGTTCTGCAATCAATCCCCACATCCAGCCTCGAGCCCCCACCCCATCCCACATCCAGCCGGCTCTGCACTAAATGGAGGATCTGCTTGAGATTCTCTTCCTCCTTCTTTGCCCCTCTCCCCTCCCCCCCGCCCCTGCGCTCACGTGCTCCCTCTCTCTCCAAAATAAGTAAATAAATAAAATCTTTTTTTAAAGGCTGAGAGTTATATTAATTTATAAAGATATAAGGTGTTATTTTTTAACATCTTTACAGCTATTAATAGAACTGTTAAACAAAAGAAATAAATTTACATGGGAATCAGAGAATGTTTTTCATTCCACAAGGTATCTTCACTTTTGTTAATTATTAGATTTCTGATGTGGGCCACATTTTAGCCGTGAACTCTGAGCTTTAGTTTTTTAACTCACACTACTGAAATATCAGTAGCTTCCATGTCAACTCTAAAGCTGTATATTAATTTCACTTCTCCAGAAAAAGAAACCTGTTTTAGTATCTCAGCTGTCACACACTGCTCTGCAGTATGAATCTCCCTTCCATCCTAAAAGTGGAGAAGGATAATAACACTCAACAAGAGGGCCCAGAAGGAAAAAGAAACTAGGTTACCTAATTTTTTAAGTCCTTCTAACTTGTTCTAACCAGAGCCATGGAAAGCTCTGTAAATAGAGTGTCTCCAATACCCTTATATTCTCTCATGAGTTTCTATCCCACTGAGGGGATAGGAAACAGAGTAGAGCTGGACATTTGGATTAATATGACACCAGAAGAATGGAAGCCGACAGCTGTTTTTATTTTTTTTTATTTTTTGGGTGTATTTGAATTTTTTTTAATTTTTATTGTTATGTTAATCACCATACATTACATCATTAGTTTTTTTTTTTTTAAGATTTTATTTATTTATTTGAGAGAGTGAGAATGAGAGAGAGAGAGAGAGCATATGAGAGGGAGGAGGGTCAGAGGGAGAAGCAGACTCCCTGCTGAGCAGGAAGCCTGATGCAGGACTCGATCCCGGGACTCCAGGATCATGACCTGAGCCGAAGGCAGTCGCTTAACCAACTGAGCCACCCAGGCGCCCCTCATCATTAGTTTTTGATGTAGTGTTCCATGATTCATTGTTGGCGTATAACACCCAGTGCTCCACGCAGTACGTGCCCTCTTTAATACCCATCACCAGGCTAACCCACCCTCCCACCCCCCTCCCCTCTAGAACCCTCAGTTTGTTTCTCAGAGTCCATAATCTCTCATGGTTCATCTCCCCTTCCGATTTCCCCCTCTTCATTTTTCCCTTCCTACAATCCTCTCTTTTTTTTTTTTTTTTTTTTAACATATAATGTATTATTTGTTTCAGAGGTACAGGTCTGTGACTCATCAGTCTTAGACAATTCACAGTGTTCACCATAGCACATACCCTCCCCAGTGTCTATCACCCATCCATCCCATCCCTCCCACCCCCCACCACTCCAGCAACCCTCAGTTTGTTTCCTGAGATTAAGAATTCCTCATATCAGTGAGGTCATATGATACACCAACAGCTGTTTTTAAAGAGAAGAGAGTACATGTTTGATGCACTCACGCTGAATGAAGCAAAGCTAATGAGAGGCTGCCTAGTAAAGGTTCTTAGAGTGTTTGCTTTAATGAACCCAGTGAACTGGCTTATTGGCACAGCAGGAGCTTGTGGGTAAATTATGTTCTGTAGCCACAGCCACCATATATTAAAGCCTGTCCAGTGCTGTGCAGGGACCTTTACAGTGTTGTCCTCACAGAAACCCAGTGAAGCAGGTAGTGGTATCTTCATTGCACGGCTGAAGAAACAAGCTCAGGGATTCAGACTTTCATGGCCCCATACAAGTAAATGATTGTCAATATTCTAACCAAAGCCCATGCTCTTCATATGATAACAGTCTGCTTCTGAATACATTGTACTCAAATATTTTAAACATCCTCTTACCGACTTATGTCATATGTTAATTTGTACTGTTTTAAAGAGCAACTAGACTTTAATATAGCTTAATCTGGGTTGTCAACATTTCTGAATTACTAGCTTATACATAAGATTCTTAAAGTTCTACTGTGGTTTTTGTGAATTTTTAATAGATCTGAGTCACTTACATGAAGCTACTTTTTACAGTCCCCTTTTCAATCTCTTATATAAGTGTGGCATAGTGGTTAAGAGCATAGAATGATTAAAAGCTCTCAAGTCAGAACTCCAGCTCCATCTCTTCTTCACCATGTAACTGTGGGCAAGTTATTTGCCACTCTGCCCCCCATACCTCAGCTTCTGCTGTAAAGAAGGGATAATAATAGTTGCTACCTCATTGGACTCTTAGAAGAATAATATATATTAAGCATTTAGAACAGTGCCTGGCAAATAATGAGCACTCTGTAAGTATTACCTATCATTACTCTTGTGGTTACTATTTTTATTGTTAAATGTTTATTCTTTATTTTTAATGTATATAATAACATTTCACACAGATTTTATTTGATATAATTCTGTTTTTGGCATTGTATATAATTTTTAAATCTCTTCTAACTGTATGGTTTTCCAAATAATTCATATTTGTTATAAGTATGCTTTTTCAATACATCATATGATTATTTTTAAATAGAACAAATTAACTTCATTTATACTTGATATTTTTATTCTGGTTGAAATAATTTTTATAATTCTAATTCAGGACATGGCCCAGTAATTCATAACGCTGAAGCTAAAATTCTAGAATACATTTCTCACAGAAATATCCGAGAACAGCAAATTCTTACATTGTTTCGTGATAATTTTGAAAAATCATTTACAGCAATGGAGGTTGTAAAAAACATTTACAAGGTAATTTTCATTTATCTTATTTGTACATAGCAAGTTTTTTTTTTTTTTTAAGATTTTATTTATTTATTTGACAGAGACAGACACAGTGAGAGAGAGAACACAAGCAGGGGGAGTGGGAGAGGGAGAAGCAGGCCTCCCGCCAAGTAGGGAGCCCGATACGGGGCTCGATCCCAGGACCCTGGGATCATGACCTGAGCCGAAGGCAGACGCTTAACAACTGAGCCACCCAGGCGCCCCCACAGCAACAGTTTTATTAGAATAATCTTTGTAGTAGACTATAGGTATGGTAAATTTATTACATCCCAGAACAGAATAAGTCTGTTAATTTTATAAGTAGTGCTGCTTGTATAAATTTGAGATCAGCAATCTCAACTTTCTAGAACACGGAAGTTAAACAAATAAAAACGGACCTGGAGAACCAAAAAGAAACATTCCAAGCTATCATTAAACCTTATAGACTTCATCTTGCAAGAGAGACCATTACCAACATCCTTATGATTAAGTTTTATAATGATTTATGTATTATTGTAGCCATCTTAATGATTGGTGTCCTAGCCCATAGCGAGTGAGACAGGTGATCTGCTAGAGACATACTGGGTTAATAGCAGTGAGAAGTAGTAGCAATGCCTAACAAGGGAGAAGAAAGAGAAAGCACGTGTAAAAGAACATGAGTAGAATAACTTAGTATATAGAGGAAAAAAATGCCCTCGGCTCCAGTGGTCTCTGAGTAAATATATAACAGCACTGTGGGGCAGTCGATTAGTATAATTTAGTTTTTCAGCAAATGTTTATTAGATGTCTGCTGTGTGGATAGTATAGAGGTTAAGAATGCAGGCTCTGCAAGATGTCCATCGACAGATGAATGGATAAAGAAGATGTATATATATATATATATATATATATATATATATATATATATATATATACAATGGAATATTATGCAGCCATCAAAAGGAATGAGATCTTGCCATTTGCAACGACGTGGATGGAACTGGAAAGTATTGTTGAGTGAAATAAGTCAAACAGAGAAAGACATGTATCATATGATCTCACTGATATGAGGAATTCTTAATTGTAGGAAACAAACTGAGGGTTGCTGGAGTGGGGGGTGGGGTGGGAGGGATGGGGTGACTGGGTGATAGATACCGGGGAGGGTATGTGCTCTGGTAAGCGCTGTGAATTGTGCAAGACTGGTGAATCTCAGATCTGTACCTCTGAAACAAATAATGCAATATATGTTAAGAAAAAAAAAAGAAGAAGAAGGTAGCGGGAGGGGAAGAATGAAGCGGGGGAAATCGGAGGGGTAGACGAACCATGAGAGACGATGGACTCTGAAAAACAAACAGGGTTCTAGAGGGGAGGGGGGTGGGAGGATGGGTTAGCCTGCTGGTGGGTATTGAGGAGGGCACATTCTGCATGGAGCACTGGGTGTTATGCACAAACAATGAATCATGGAACACTTCATCTAAAACTAATGATGTAATGTATGGGGATTAACATAAGAATAAAAAATAAATAAAAATTAAAAAAAAAAAAAAAAAAAAAAAGAATGCAGGCTCTGGAATAAGATTACCTGGATTTAAAAACTCTCACTACCAGAGTACCTGGCTGGCTCAGGCAGAAGAGTGTGCTGACTCTTAATTTTGGGGTCATGAGTTCAAGCCCTATCTTGAGTATAGAGATTACTAAAAAATAAATAAAAGAAAAACACTTCCCACTACTACAACCTGTACCGCCGTAAGATACGTGAGACTGTAAAGATGAGCTTGAAAAGTACCTAGGGCCAATTGTAATTAGTAAAGAACTTTAATGTTCCATTGGCCCAAGTTATCAAAAAACAGTCATATACTCAGTCTGCTTTGTTTTAAAAGGAAGGGATGAATGGTTAAAATGGCTAAAGATAAAAAGTGCCATTGGCAAAGGGGTAATATAAATATTTAAATTCTGTGAAAGAGTTCATTTCCTCATAATACTAGAATATAGCCACGCTAGACTATACATTGGTACATTGGGTTTTTTTTTTTTTCCTAACTTAAGTACAGACAGCAGAACTCTAAATCACCCTCCCAGATGAGTCATCGAGCAATTGTCCATCCCTTAAAAATGCTGGTTCTGCATTCAGAGTGTATTCACTATATTCACTGTATTATATGTGTCAAGTACCTGTTGCATATAGAATGGCATAGGTATTATAGGGAGATTTACTCATTCAAATTTACTGAATGCCCTTCCTGTGCCACACGGTGGACCAGGTACTAAGATACAAAGATGACTACAGATCCCTACCTTCAAAGAACTCATAGTTTAGTGACGACAGACATGTTCAACAGATGATTGTAATACTATCATTTTTTGAGTGCCTGATTGTGTGCTAGACACTGTACTCATTGATTTACACTTACAAATGTAATTTGAGGCCCTTAATTCATACACCTCGAATTTTCAATACATAAAGATACAATTATTCCAATTTAATAGACTTAAAAAAAAAATCTGACTCAGAATGTGTGAGCTAAGTAACTTCCAAAGACACACAACTAGCAGATGTCACATACTCAAAAGTGAGATGTCAGATACTCAGATCGTGGTTTTTTTTAATCATACCAGCCTTCCTGTAAGACCTCTACACAGTATATCAGAGCATAAAAGAAAGAGGAATAAATTTCACCTGATGGAAGATGCAGGGTATCGAGGCTTGTCTGGAAAAGCTTTAAAAACTTATTTAGTTGAGTCTTGAAGAAGCAAGCATTTTCCAAGCCAAAGTACAGGAGAAAAGAAGTCATTCTAGACAGAAGGAAAGACATGCTCTGCAAGTAATAAAAGAGCATTGTATATGTGAAAACCCACAAAGAAACTGCGTGTGACTGGAGCACAGAATGCATATGTGAATGGTCCCAGGAAAGGAGTCCCAGGAAATGAGGCAGGAAAGACAGGCATGATCACACAGAAGCCTTATAACAAATAGGGGCTTTATCCAATAACCTGGGCATGACCACTCAAGGATCTTAGGTGGAGGATTCACTAATTAGATCTAGAAGATCACAGTGGTGGATATGGCACTGGAGCTTAAGAGAGGGCTTGGGGTTGGAAGTTTATATTTGGGGAACATTAACGTGTGATGTTGCTGTGCTAAGTTGGTTGAGTAAGAAGTGAGTCAACAATACAACTCAATGTAAGTACACATGAATTTAAGAGAAGTCTAAGGAAGTTTCGAGATGAAAACTAAAGATGACAGAGGTAGGATAACCAAGGGAAATGTACAAAGATATTATCATGTAACCCAGTAAATAAACCATAGGGCCAATGGTCCATAGCATCATCAAAACTATCTAGAATAATTTTTAGGCATTCATTCATAAAATACAGAGTTCCTACTATGTGCCATTTGCTAAGCACTGGGTATATGGTAAAGAACAAAACCAACACTGTTACTGTCCTTATGGACCTTACAGGCTATTTTATGTATAGGGATATAGATAAAAATAGAGTGGCCTAAAGCAAGACACATACAAGGTGAAATCATTTTGATTATTCCTATATAAAAATGTATTTAAGTTAAAATTTTCCTTTTGTTGCATGTTTTGTTTCAACAAGATTAACTCATTCTTTTTTAAAAAAGAAATGTCTTCTTGCACTCTCGTTTTTCTTTTAGACTATTCCTGAGCATTTATATAAAATGGCTGAACGTAATACCTTGCTTCACTTGAAAAAATTAAAAAAAGAAGGAAAAATATGTAAGTATACTTCCAAATTTCAATTATTTTATTACCAGCATTTAAAATATTCTTTTTTTACAAAACTAGTTTGCTTTTAGGAAAAACAACAACCACCAGAGTCCTTCCTTGAACGTCACTGTAAGATGGAGAAACAAGCACTAGAAAGGGTTAGTAGTGAAAGGCCAGTGGACCACAAATTGGAACCTAAAGCTCCCACAGGAATTAGAATTTTGCTTAGGGGTTGCAGTTCTTACCCACCAGAACTACAATCAAAGGCAGGTAATGGGAAGATAGCCTCTCTTCTCCCGACCACAAAGAATTTCACACGCATAAGGTTTGGGAACAGCCAGACGTTTTAGCAGTAGTAAAGGTAGTAAACTCAAAAATATTAAAGCAGTAATTCTATAAGTGTTTACTCGTGTTAGATTAATTCATCAAATTAACAATCTTTATAGAAATTTAATCCTTAAAATCAAGAAGCTCAAAACTTTTTTGTGTAGAAGCTTCAGCAATGCTTTTATATGTACAAAAAAATACCACCTTTATATTAAGCAACAAAATTATTTTAGGAATTAATGCTTTTTCTAGCCACAGAATAACTTAAAATCCATTATATTTGCTTATCTGTTGTTAAATTTTCACTCTTTAATTTTCTTTCCACAGTTAGCAGCACGGATCCTGAGAAGAAATGGAAAGCTAATCTTTAGTTTCAGATTAATGAAAGCTTCTGTTGGCTTGTTTTATTTTTAGAGAATGGTATGTTTTCTTAACTATAATTATTTACAGGGAATATAGAGTATAGAACATTGAAAATAATCCTAAATATACTTTAAAATAATGTCTTATTTCGTCTAAAATATATATTACACTTTACATGTATAATATAGGTCGCTTATCTAATCTGAATGGTATAACATTTTACCAAAAATTCAGAATCCAACAGTTTATCCATGTTCAACAGATTTATGGTTACTTTAAAAATAATAAAATTTATATAAGTTAAACTGGGTATTATTCTTGGAGATTAGTTATCTGTTACAAATGGCCAATAGTATTTCTCCAGCTGCTTCAGTTAACAGCACAGATTTCTGTGTAATCCTTCTTTACATCTGTAGATAACAGCTTTGTTTTCATGTTTCTATCAATTGTATTATGATTTTGCTTTAGTTCTATAGCTCTGTATCCTGTATATTTTTTTATAATGGTATCTCACAAATGATTCATGAACATCAACTTACAGTAATTGAAAAATATTAAATTCCTAATTAAAAGCATTATATAATAATTATTTCTGTAATCCATTAGTACAACTAACTTACTTTCCAAGTTTAGATTTTAGTATATAAATAGCTATCATATATATGAATTATATACCAAAAATTTTTTTTTTAATTAGAGGATTTATAAGACAGGGCATTTTATATACAAGTAGTGTTCTTAAATATAGGAGTTAGGTTCTCAGGGTAGCCCAGCAATGCTTATTTAACCCACAAGGTTGCCAAACTGCAATACTAAAATGAGCTCAGAATCCTGAGAATGTCCTTTTTTTAATTCTTCACTAAAGGTAAAACTTTAAAAATTTTTCTTAAACTTTCTTTGACATCCTCACCTTTTTCTGCCACTTTTCCCAAGGTCCCTAGGATTTTCATACTATCGTAACACTTGTTTTCATGCCATAGAGACCTGTTGTGTTCCTGAAACCATTTCATATTACAAAATAACTCTGAACAACAACAATAACTCCATTCAAAAATGGGCAAAGGACTGGGGCGCCTGGGTGGCTCAGTTGTTAAGCATCTGCCTTCGGCTCAAGTCATGATCCCAGGGTCCTGGGATCGAGCCCCACATTGGGCTCCCTGCTCAGCGGGAAGCCTGCTTCTCCCTCTCCCGCTCCCCCTGCTTGTGTTCCCTCGCTCGCTGTGTCTCTCTCTGTCAAATAAATAAAATCTTTAAAAAAAAAAAAATGGAGGGAGGTGGGGGGATGGATTAGCCTGGTGATGGGTATTAAAGAGGGCATGTATTGAATGGAGCACTGGGTGTTATACGCAAACAATGAATCATGGAACACCACATCAAAAACTAATGATGCAATGTATGGTGATTAACATAATAAAATTTAAAAAAAGACTATATCCTTTATAAGCAAAATAAACAACACGTTTTCTAACTAAAGATAAAAAAAAATGGGCAAGGACTTAAATAGACATTTCTCCAAATAATATATACAGATGTCCAATAAGCACATGAAAATAAGTTCAACGTCACTAATCATTAGGGAAATGCAAATGAAAACCACGATGAGATACCACTTCATGCCCATTAGGATGGCTATTATAAAAAAAAAATAATAAAAGTGTTGGGGAGGATGTGGAGAAAATGGAACCCTTGTACGTTACTGGTGGGAATATAAAATGGTACAGCTGCTACGGAAAACACTTCGGTGGTTCCTCAAAAATTAAACATAGAATTACCATATGATCCAGCAATTCCACTTCTGATATATACCCAAAAGAACTGAAAACAAGGACTGGAACAGATACTTGCACACTCAGGTTCATGGCAGTGTTATTCACAATAGCCAAAGGTGGAAGCAACCCAAGTGTCCACTGAAGGATGAGTGGATAAATAAAATGGTGTCTATACAGACAATGGAATACTATTCAGCCTAAAAAAGGAAGGAGATTCTGACACATGCTACAATATGGATGAAACTTGAAGACATTATCCTAAGTGATATAAGCCAGTACAAAAGGACAAATACTATATGATTCCCCTTATTTGAGGTACCTAGAGTAGTCAGATTCATAGAGACAAAAAGTAGAATGGTGGATGCCAAGGACTGGAAGAGAGGGAGAAATGGACAAGGAATTGCAGTTTGGGAAGATGAAAAAAATTCTGGAAATGGATGGTGGTCATGATTACACATAAAACAATGTGAATGTACTTAATGCCACTGAACAGTATACTTAAAAATAGTTAAAATGGTAAATTAAAAAATATAAGTATTTTCCCCAACACCACCCCAAAAAAAAAAAAAAATCAGTATTCCCATTCCCTAAGTATAGCATATATCAGCAAAATTTAGACAAGAAATCTGATTATGTATGTAAATGGTTAATTTACATACTTGCATCTCCTCCATTCTTTCCTATCTGAATACAACACCAGTTGATCAAACCAGAAAAACCCAATAATTATTTTTGATATGCCCCCATCCGTCATCTCATCCAGTTCTTCACCAAGTACTTACTGACTGTTCCAGCTCTAGAATTTTTTGTCTCTACCTCTTATTCCACCAATACATCTTAGTCCAGGCCATCATCCTCTCTTGCAAGGGACAACTGCAATAGTCCATAACTCTGGTCTCCCTACTTCTGTTCTTGGGAGAAGTTAGGGGACAGGGATGAGAAGGGCATTCTGAACTGAAGAAATCTGCACAAAGCCGTATAATCATTGTCCTTTTTAAAGAACCATGGCACAACTGCAAGTGGATATATCGGACGAGGGATGATAATGGGAGGCCCTTAAATTCCCTGGTTTTTGAAAGAGTCTAGGCAACTGACCTTTAACAAAGACAATGGCGTCCATTAAGTATCTGCTTTGTGCTGGGTACTGGACCAGACAATGAGGACACAATGGGGAACAAAACAGTTTCTCTACTCTCAAAAGAAGCTTATATTCTAGTTGTGGAAATACACAGAATACGCAGTACCATTAAATTTGGTTGGGTTATAGAAAGCTTAGAGGAGCCTGAGCTCAGTCTTCAAAGCTAAGTAAGTGGTATCCAAGTAAAGAAGTTAGAGACATTTAAGAGATGAGAAGAATTGTTCCAGTTAGAAGAAATAGTATATGCACATAAACAGAGAGATGGCAGAGTGTCACATGGTTGGGGAACTAAGTTCTATAGCTAGAGTATATAGTTTTTGTGACTTGAGGTCATAGAGATAAGCAGCAGCTAAGGAACACAAAAATTTCACAGGAAATTTCACACACCAATGTACTGTCATCCAGCCATGCTTCATCCAGCCATGCTTCACACAGGCTGGAGTATGCATAATTAAGGAAATACAAAGCTAAGCACAGTCCAGAGAGTTCTAGTGTTATTTTGTTGCCTCCTCAAAAGCAAGAGTTTGTCCCCAACCATTATGGTGTTTAATTCCTATTTTTTCTATCGTATCAGCCAATTATTTTATCCTCCATTCAATATACCCAGTAGTTTTGGATTACAGCTTCTGCTTGCACATTTTCTGTTTACTCGAGAGCTTACATTCTCCTTGTCATCACCTCTGCCTTCTCCCTGTATATCTTCAGCTTGTGTTTTGCAACAACTGAGTAGTCCTCTATGTGTCTCAGACTCAGATCTCATAGAAGAGGACCTGCTTAGTGTAATTAATCTTCACTGTCCCTGTTTAAGAGAGCTTTCCTGCCATCGTGTCTTTTATATTACTCACCAGCCTGTATGGTAACTATGCTAGATCAATCATCTGGGACCAGAAGGGAACCCCATTCAACAGTAGATAGGGTAAGGATTCTGAGATTTGGCCTTTTCAGTACAGTGGGAGAAGTGAAAAAGCAGCAGAAAGGGTCTCAAAGGTAATAGAAGACAGGGTAACAGATACAAGAAATATTTATGAAAAGGAACAGCACTTAGAAACTACTAGATCTTGAAGGATGGGGATCAAATAGAAAGGGAGAAGTCTAGGAGAGCTTTGGTTTCTGGCTTGGACAGCTGAGTAGATGCTGACCTGATAAGAAAATAAAGGAAATGGAGTAAGTAGAATGGGTAAGGACGGAAAGCTGCCTTCTACTACAGATGAGTTTGAAGTCCCAAGGAACATCCAAAGGGAGATACCTAGAAGGCACTTAGATCTATGGAGCTGGGGCTAAATAGGTATAATATATTTTGCTGCAAGTGACAGAGACTTATTTTCAACTAGCTCAAGCAAAAGTTGGTTGACACATGTAACCAACCAAAGAAGGGTAAGGGTGGAGCCAGGCTTGTAAACAAGAACGAAGATTTGGATCCCATCAAATGGGATCCCCAAACCTCTCATTTCTACTTCCTTTTCTGCATGTCAGAGACCCCAGAGCAGATTGGCTTCCTCACATGGCATGGGGCATGGCTACAGGCAGCTCTGGGCTCATATCCTAACCATTCCATAACCAGCAGGCAAAACTGGTTCTCTCAGCTTTGGTTTGAAAAATCCTAGGAAAGGACTCAGTGACTTACACTGGCTCATTACCCTGTCCTTGAGCCAGTCTCTGTGATCTACAGAACATGACGTACTATATTTGGCCCAGCTTTGGTCACATGCCTACCCCTGTGGCCAGAGTGGGTGAGGACTGTTCTCAGATAAAGAGTCATAGGAAGATTCTGGAGCAATACTGATTCCTTACTGAATAGCTTTCCTTTCCCTCCAATGTACATAAAATAGTTCTCTGCAGTAGCTCACAGAATGACTAGACCAATTCTGTGCAAACTGAATCTCTTCCGTATGTTTCTGTGAGATTTTTTGAGTGTTTTTTAAGTTATCTGGGAGTGTTTTCATATCTCCAGATTGTCACTTCAAGAAAAAGTCAGTAAAGTTGGCTAGTAACAGGGAAGCTAAAATCCTGGGGAAAATGAGAAAAGATTCAAGTACAGGTTCTTCTTAATTCTGCCAGTACTATACATTAGTGTCCCCTCCCTTGCAAGTCCCTCCTTGCTTACCAGAGCATGGATCAGTATGAAACTTGTACCAACTTCCAGGAATTGTTGGAGCAGGAAAATATACCATAATCAGTCTTTTCCTCCAATCCACGGGGGGGGGGGGGAGGGGGGGCTTGAAAGGATACTTTGTTTTGATAGAAAAAAAAGTTCAATATTTGAAATATTGATTGTGAAAGTCTTAGTTCCAGACACCTTAGTGCTGGGCCTTCTGAAACATTTGGAATTAAAATGGAGAATGGAGGAGGGATAGATACGTGTATTCACTTGTGTTATGCAGAAAATATCTCTGGAAAGATACCAAAACTATAAGAAAGCTTGATCAAGGATAGGATAATCACCAGGACAGAGGTGTTTTAGCAGCCAAAAAAAAAAAGGTCAATAGTATTAAATGAAGACTCTTATGTGCTGTTTATGCTTATTTTACCCATCATTGGATTATATGACACTAAATGCTCAACAATATTATCATATTGTTACTGCATATTACCAATTTTACCCTGAAGGATTGCTTATAAATGCTAAAATTCTGAATCCTCAACAAATCCACATTAAAATCCATTAACATTATAGGCAGTTTCAAGAAACATTAAGCATTATTCTTTTAAAATGTAATTCTATTTAGTACTATTTCTGGCAGACTTACCACATGTTTATCGCTACTCCTTTCCAAGACCCAATAAAAAAATATGTATCAAGTGTACAGAGTTATAGATTTAAAAGGAAAAAAAAAAAACAGTAAAAGCTACAAAGCAGAGAAGACAGAGTGCAAGAGGGGACTGCACAGATTATAACCAAATTTTGAAAGACTACAGATAGAGCTAAGGCAGTCATACAACGATAGCCTAAAATTGCTGTAGGAGGGAAGAAAGCCAATTCACCCTAACAACCCCTTGAGAAGTTAGGGCCGAGAGGCACCAGGTGCTGCAGAAGGTGGGGGCAGTGCTCTGTTCTAAAAGAGGGATTGCTGAAAGCTTGTATGTGCAACATACCCGAGTGCTACATAGCCAGGCAACTGCTACCCCAAAAAAGAAACCAAAGTTTATTCTTAGAAGTGAAAGGCAGAAAAAAAAAAAATAAGTGAAAGAACAGTAAACTTCCATTCCCCTTTCCTTACCTGTCCCCAGAACAGCAGTTTCCAAGTAGACAACTGCAAGGTAGAAGATTGGGAATTTCATCTCTAGAGAAAATGAATGGTACAGCCAAAAAAAAAAAAAAAAAAAAACCTTTACATACATTTATATATGGGCTCTACAACAGAATGGCCAAATCTCCCTACAGTGAAGCCTACAATCTGACAAACCCTCCCATACACTTACCCACACATATATACAGTTTCCAATCAGTATCTCTTAATATAAACAGAAATCCAAAGCTCATCAGAAATGAAAGAACAAAATAAGCAAGAATAGGGAGAAAAAGACAATGTAAAAAAAATTTTAATTATTAGTATCCTTAGATGAGGGAAGGTATAATTTGTAAAGCAAGAATAGGATACTATGAAAAACAGCTCTATGAAAAAACCTTGGGAAGTAAAAATATATAACCAAAACAGAGAAATTTTGGGAAACAGAGTTGAGAAAGTTTTTGGAAAACAAAACAACAACAAAACAAAGAAAACAAAGGGAAAAGATGGAAGGCTTTGGGAGGAAACCAGGAGGTATAACATCAAAGTAATAGGGGTTCCAGAAAAACAGAACTGAAAATAGTCAGAAATTATCAAAAAAGAAATACAAGAAAATTTCCTAGAACTGAAGGACATGAGTCTTTCCGTTGAAAGGGTCTACTAAAGGCCCAGCAATTCGTAAAAAAGATAAAGCAATCCACACTAAGTCATAACATTATAAAATTTCAGAACATTGGGGTAAAGAGGAGATCTTAAAAGATTCTGGGTTGTGGGTATGGTGGTAGGATTGGGGGTTTGGAATCACTTAGAATGGAGCATGATCAAAACAGCACTGCCTTTTACAGTGTGTTAGGACATAATGCCTTCAAAAATCTGAGGGAGGAAATTATTTGTCCGAGAAGTTTATAACCAACCAATCAATGGTGTGAGTGCAAGGACTCAAAACGTATAGCTGCATGCACCTCTAGGGACCTGCTGGATAATGCACTCCAGAAGAACAAAAAAAAGAAAGGCACACAATCGAAATAGTAACTCCAACACAGAAAAATGTCAAAAGTAAGTTCTAGGGGTGCCTGGGTGGCTCAATCGTTTAGCATCTGCCTTCGGCTCAGGTCATGATCCCAGGGTCCTGGGATCGAGCCCCACATCGGGCTCCCTGCTCGGCGGGAAGCCTGCTTCTCCCTCTCCCACTCCCCCTGCTTGTGTTCCCTCTCTCGCTGTGTCTTTCTCTGTCAAATAAATAAATAAAATCCTAAAAAAAAAAAAAAGTTCTAAGACAAAGGTGTGCCCAAAACCTGCTCTAGATTGGAGCAGGAGTAAGTGGGGGCTCAGAGAGAGAGAGAGAGATCTCCAGAGGGGAAAATGGAACTGATGGATTCTCTAGTATGTTTGAGCCTTTGGGAGGAAAAAAACTGCTGGTGGTCATACAACAGCTCTAGTTGAACAACTGAAACAATGACCAGTTAATAGAAAACTATACTGGTGAGGAAAAAATGAGGCAGTCGTTGGATTCCAAAAAACAAAAGCTACACAAGGAAGGAAGAATTATGAAATAGTATCTGTCACTGCAATTTTACATAGGCAATAATGTAAGCACTGACTAAAAATTATGTTCTAGGATAATAGAGGAAAGGAAACTATTGAGAGTTTGAGAATGCTAAATTGAGAGATTGAGAATGCTAAATCATCACCTCAGATAACAGAAAGTAAGTGTAAAATTAACAAATCAGGAAATAGAAGTATAAGCATTTTACTAATGCCAGAAAGAATCTCAAAAGTAGAAAGAAATTGGGAAATGGTTTTCCTGTTTAGTACTATTTAATTTTTAAATTAAGTAAATAGTTTGATATAAACTAAACATTTTAATGTCAAAATACTGATTTTATGCAATGGGTGAGTTCCAACTCTTTTAGTCCAGTGAAGCAAGCACTTTTGTCACAGAACTCTCCTGCAAAAATTACCAGGAATGGGAAACAATGAGAGATATGTGCTTATTTGGTGTTCTCTTAGCCCTAAGGATAACAGTCTGCAAGTTCATATTCCTTAATGGATACAAATGTCAAGCATAACGTTTTCCCTAAGAGGAAATCCTGCCCCTAGTATCCTGGAGAACCTGGAGAATTAAGGTGAACTGGAGTCAAAGATGTCCGTGCCCTTTAAAGTTTCACTGCATATGAAAGCCATCTAAGGATAACTAGACCTGAGGTCACCCGAATCCAGCAGAGTGCTATTTATAACTGTATGGTAGATTCCCAACTTTGTATTCCAGCCCTAATATAGTACAGTATTAAAGATCTATCATAGTTCGAGTTTCTCCTAATGAGATCTAAACTGAACTTAGGATTCAGTAATTAGCCAATGTAAGGAGGAAAAGACTCCACCTCTATCTCTCAGAGACTTCAGCTAACACTTTCTCTATAGTCGGTTAAGTTACCTGCGACAAAATTTGCAGGAAAGCTAACACTGATATGACAGATTCCCTCAATGACGTTTACTAGTGTTTTTAAGAACTTTGGGGTGGCTGATGACCCTGAAGAAGCACTCTTCTGGAGAAAATATGTTTCCAAATCAGAGGCTTCCAAATAGAAGTTAGGCTGCAGCAAGCCGGGCTACATGTATATGACCTTATTTTGTGCGTGAGTATATTAATACCGTGCTATCTTTGGCACTTACGTGTTTGGAGGAAAGTGCATCTCTACCAAAAGACCAGTCAATTAGTTTTCCCGTGTTTGTTGCTTTGATTCCAGAAGATTTTAATCCACTGAGTATCCACTTCCTCCTTTTAGGGTGAGACTGACACTACTCTAGAGCCATATGAAGCAACCTATGCTTTTCATATTTTCCCAAGGGTTGAAGAAAAATTTTCACTAACAGAAGCTCTCTGGTTTTGTACCACAGAAATCTTCCCAGCATACTCTGTGGAAGCAGATAATCCAGCCTCCTTCTGCTAAATCAGTTTTCAGAAAGGGTAAAAATGTCTGTCACAAATGGTATATCTAAAGATTTTATATCTAAACCTGAAACTCCCAGGAATACTCTTAGCCATCCATTCTCCCAGCACAAAATGTACTCTTGGACCACTTGCATCCCTATCAACTGGGGCACTTGAATATTTCAAATGCATATTTCTGGGCCCTAACAAGATTGACTGAATCAGAATTTCTGAAGAGGACCAAGGAATACAGTTTTTTTCTGTCAACCCAGATGATTCTTTTCCTACATCAACAGAATTCTAATTTAGTATTGTGTTGTTGGTTTGTATTTGTCAAAGGTTCGTGTGAAATACACACAAAATCTCTGGAGTTTTTTTAATGCTATTGAGGACATTGTCTATTTTATTATTCAATGTTCTTTGGTATCCATGGAACAAAATCCATTTCAGATTTCAGAGCTAGATAAAAGGTTTTCTCTCCTGTGAACTAATGTTTCCTTTATTAGACTAGTATTTGTCAAATTTGGCTAATCATCAAAATCACCTGGGGAGGGGCGCCTGGGTGGCTCAGTCGTTAAGTGTCTGACTTCGGCTCAGGTCATGATCCCAGGGTCCTGGGATCGAGCCCCGCATCAGGCTCCCTGCTCGGCGGAAGCCTGCTTCTCCCTCTTCCACTCCCCCTGCTTGTGTTCCCTCTCTCCCTGTCAAAAAATAAATAAAAATCTTTAAAAAAAAAAAAAATCACCTGGGGAAATTTTTAAAAATACACAGCTTCCCAGACCCCTTGTAAGACCCATTGTAAGACCCATTCTCCAGGCGAGAGGGGATCCATGTGATACTAATAATTAACCATGTTTCAAAAACTGTACATGGAATGATGTGTAGGTAATTCACCATGATCACTTTTTGCCTTGACTTCCTGGAAGCTACTCTTAAAACAATTTTTCTTGGAATTCAGTTCTTTTTTTTTTTAAGATTTATTTATTTATTTGAGAGGGGGGGAGGGGCAGAGGGAAAGAGAGACTCCCATGCAGACTCCCCGCTGAGAGTGGAGCCCAACGCAGGGGCTCGATCTCACGACCCTGAGATCATGATCTGAGCTGAAATCAGGAGTTAGAGGCTTAACTGATTGAGCCATCCAGGCACCCCAGAATTCAGTTCTTTAATATAATTATTTTCCTTTTCTTCCCCCATTTTATTACTTCTCTGTTTCAGTATTTTTTTAATGAAGTTCAACTTCAGAGGAAATAATTTATAATAATACTAAACTTTGGACCAGCACATTCCTTGCAAGAGCATTTAAGCCTAAAATAAATCAGTTATTAGGATTATAGCGGTAAAGAATCTGGTGGGCTTAAAAGTTTCATCATTCAGATTTTATGGAGACTTCACAGGAAATCATTGAAAAATACTCTGAAAATCATTGCTATTAAAAGCCATATACATAATTAAGCTCCCAATCCCCTTTCAGCCTCTTTGCTAAGACTAAGTAACATTGTTCTTCTTTCTTTTTATTCACCACCTCAAAGATCGAATCCATTTTAGTGGTGTTAACCATTACCATCATGCTGATCAATTTCCAGATGTATGCTTGAGCTTGAATCATTCACCAAAGCCCCAGGCCTAAATCCTTTGCTAACTGCAGAAACTCTTCCTTTGGCTGTCTCCCAAAGACCACACATCAATGTGAAGTAACTCAATACAATCCACAATTTCACATTCCTGATTACCACCCTCTCCCAACTCACACTTTGGGTAAATAGCATCACCATCACCGTTCTTCCATGCCCCCAAGCTAAATTAGTCCTTGGTCACTCATTCCTTTTAATCCCCACTCCATTTAGCAGAGCAGTATTTGTGCTCTAATTTGAGGATGTAGATGCGATCTGAAAACCAAAGAAAATGACAGTGGTTATGAGTAATGCTCAGAAGGAGCGATAAATTGCCTAGGGAATAAATGTGCCTTGTTTCACAGGGACAAAACTAAACATTTGTCGTAGGCAGTCTCAGGAACAGAGCCCTTTCTCTTTTCCCCAGACTAGTGTTCATGCTCCAAATCAAAATAAACTTCTAACTGATTTCCCCCTATGTGACCTATTCCAGTTTCCATTCATCGTGGTAGTGGTGGTACTGGTTTAGTAATAGTATTTGTCCAATCAATTCCTCATCTGTAGAAAAGGAATAACAGTACCTAACTCAATGAGTTGTTATGAGCATTAAATATCCATAGCGTTTAGCACAGCGCTTGATACCCAATAAGTATTAGTTGCTGTTATTTTTGTTGTTATTGTTTTTTTTAATTTTTATTTATTTATTTGACAGAGAGAGACAAAGCGAGAGAAGGAACACAAGCAGGGGGAGCGGGAGAGGGAGAAGCAGGCTTCCCGCGGAGCAGGGAGCCCGATGCAGGGCTCGATCTCAGGACCCTGGGCCACCACCCAAGCCGAAGGCAGACGCTCAATGACTGAGCCACCCAGGTGCCCCTTTGTTGTTATTGTTAACAATATATTCACCTACTGTGATTATTTCACTTTGATTTATACCAATTAAGCTCCACAAAACACCGAATTTACTCTTTAGTAAAATCTTACATAAAATGCCCACTTTAAAATTAAAATTTGATGGTTGTAAAATCTTAAGTTATTTTGCTGAGCCTCTGTTTCCTTATTTTAAATAGGAATAACTTTAGGTTCTAGGTTGATATGAGGTTAAAATTAACGTATATCCACAGCACCTGGGAGGTTGTAACGACCTATAACCATTTTAGTTGTTTTCATCTGTGCCGCAAGCTTTGTCTTAGAGCACACAGGCTGACGAAAACAAGGAAACAGGTCCAACGAAACCTTGGCCGCCACCCCCGGACCTTGATTCTACTAGGCACTGAGCCATATACCATTTTTGATGGCTCCAAGATATCAACTCAGTTCATGAGGCCTTCTCATGTTAGAGAATCTGGTGGGCTTAAAAGTTTCATTCCCAAAATTCCCTGAGGCATGAGGCCTTCTAACGTCAGAAGCCATTTAGGAAAGCACTTTGCACAGAAAGATGCTTTCATTAGTTCATTCTCCTCAGGTGAAAGTGATCTACTGGGTGGCCTCCCAATTATTTCATGAAGCATTCCCCAAATCTGCTGCTGTGTTCTGCACGTGACACCCTCCCCAGGAACCGCTTACCTACTACCATCTTCCTATCTGTTCCTGAGAACTAGAACCCTCTTGGCAGCACAATAAATTCCAACTAAGACCCCCTCTTCTATCTGTGTCTGCTGAGATTATTTCAGAAATCTTTTCCTACTGTGCATCTCCATAGTCCTTGGCCATTGCCTCAAATGCAAGTCACTCCATTGTCTATTACTCTCATTCACTCATGTCCATGCTGCTCCTGGATTTTTCTCCCCTGATCCAACCACTTCCTGCTGTTCCTTGACCTCCAGAGCCATGTTCTCTGGAGTACCTGTGGTGGTTCATGTTCTTATTTGCCCAACACCCCTTCCTCCACACTTTCCAGTAATAAGCACACCTACCCTAGCCACAGGGAAAAGCGGGGAACCCAAAATGGGTGAACCAAAAACTGACCCAGAAATGATCATGCTACCAAGCCAGACTGGTCTAGGTATCTCCTTGGGATTATTCTGACAGAACTTCCAAGTGACCATGTTCTCCGCCATGTAAGTAAATTCCAATTACAACAGGGAAGAATGAAGCAAGCTGAAACAAAAGAGAAAAAAGATGTGTTGAGAGTCCCAATGAGGTCAAATGCCTGGTTCTAGTTTCTAAGATCCACAACACACTCCAGATCCTGAAGCTTCTTTTTTTCAATCTGTTAACTTTTAGCCCAATATATCTTCTTTTCAGTCACTTGCAACTAAAAGAATTACAACTAATATAATCCATCCCACTATAAATAAACTCCCCTCCAACCTCAACTGTTACACCCAACATTCCCTTCACCAGTTGCTTTGACTGTATCATAGCCCTCCCCTCAAACCACCAATCTCCTTCAGCTCTCTTAGGAGGGGCTGACAATCCCCTCCCTCTCCAAACCATTACAGTGCCACCCTACTCCTGAAAAACCCCTGCTCCTTCAGCCAACTTTCCCTCCACCTGTACTCCACCTGTACTGCCATTAGTCTCCCCATTCATTCATTCATTCAGAAAAGGAATCTGGCTCCCAGTCTTCCTTGCATTGGCTCTCCTGATCTCATCACCCATGTGGGAGAGCCTCCACTCGCAGATCCATGACTGCCTTGTCTCTCCTGACCTTTTCTCCGTCCTTTCTGCTTAACAACTGAGCCACCCAGGCGCCCCAGTCCTTTGCCCATTTTTGAATGGAGTTATTGTTGTTGTTCAGAGTTATTTTGTAATATGAAATGGTTTCAGTCCTTACAGTGTGAAAACTGGTGTCCCCTCCTATGTAAATGTAACACTCTACCTATGTTCTGGTGGATCCCAAACCACAGAGACCTCAGTCCATCATTCCCACCTCTTCCCATCGCCCCAGTGTCTTCAACCTCTCTCTCTCGTCCCTCCTTCTTGTCATCTAAACATGCACAACTGTCACATCATTTAAAAGCAAACACAAAACCTACCTGGATCCTTTATTCCTCTTTAGTTACATACCCTGCTCTCTCTTCCTCTTCAAAGCCAAACTTCTTGGACGCATTTACACTCTTGTTTCCCTATCTTCACTTTGCACCACTCTCTGAAACTGATCTCTCTTCTATCAGAGAAGCTTTGACTTGGGCCCTTGATGTATTAAATAAAGCAAGATTAAATAAAGTGAAATAAGTTATAGGTTAAAGGAGAGAAAGTCTACGTTGGGCCTCTTAAGCTTCCAGAGTCATAAGATCACAGTCCTAGCCCTAAGGACATAGGAGTGGTCTACGTGGGTCACAGACATTCATCATCTTTACCAGCCAGCCCTCCCTCAACCACCTCCAGGTGTGATGTGTCATCTCCTGCCAATCTTTCCTACTAGTAACAACACTGCATTATGAATTTGGTTTATTGTTTCCATAGCAGTAAAAATTATACTCAAGGAAATTATATAATTTCCAACTATTAATGGAGTGAATTTGCTTCCTCATAGAAATATAATTTCTTCCTTACAATATGAACACAATTTTGTATTTTAAAGAAACTTACTGTAAATGATATAACAATGGCATTTAAACAGATCAATCACCTGCTTAAAAAAAAAAAAAGTGCTGTGTTTCTCTCAGGGCAGGACTATCCTCTGGAATGGATTAGGTTGACAATCATTGCTCCCTACAAGTTCAACATCTTCCTGCTAAGTGAAGCTCCTGGAGTAGTACTTACATGAAACAAGAATGGGTTTGGCAAACAGATTACCAGCCCTGTGACTTTGGGCAAATTGTTTAACCTCTCTGAGCCTCAGTTTCCCGATTTAAATTAAAATAATAACACCTATTTCATAGGGTTTTTGTGAAGACTAAATGCTCTAACCCATGTGAAAGCAAAATACCTGGAACATAGTAGGCATGCAACAAACAGTTCCTCATCCTTCATCCTTCTGGAATCTAGGAGAGGTGAAAATGCAACAGTCCCACTTTCGTTCTCACTTTTTTTAGGCACCTTCTTGCATTTCACTCTCATATCCTCTCAGAAGTGTTTTTCATCCTCGTATAGGTCTAAGGTGGCCAACTAGAGATCTTTCAGGGCAAAGATCATCTTTCTGTTTCTTTTGTATTTCTCATAACTGTAGCAACCCTATGCCAAAGATCTTCCTGGATAGACCCAAATCCACATAATCTGCTTTTTGTCCTTTTCTACATCATTGGAAGTATCCTGAGAATCCCAACGTCTGAGGGCCCGAGCTACATTTGCCAAAAAATCACTTATCCAGAATATGGTTACTGTATGCTGTATAGTACTGTGGTCAGCACTGGGCTGGACACAAAACGGCCTCCAGAGTGGGACATACCTGAGCAACCAGTCTGCTTGAAAGAAGCCTCCAGAGCCCCAAGGGCCTTGGTAAGACAACTTTCCCCACTACCATGACCCAACCTGAGAGGATTCAATGGCAGTCACCCCTCCTTATAAACTCCTTAAGAGGCCAATCCTAAAAAGGAAGTTAAAATTAGAACAGATTCCCTGCTTTCCCCTAAAAGACCATGAGAATAATTCCACCATGCATTAGAACACTTTCCACCTTGGTACCCTGCTTTCCCCTAAAAGACCATGAGAATAATTCCACCATGCATTAGAACACTTTCCACCTTGGTACCCTCCAGAAGCAAACCTCCAGTGTCATCCATTGTCACCATCTTCTCTTCCTCCACATGATTCTGCTCATCCCCTTGGTGACATAAACTAAAATCCAACCCCCTGGCCCCTAAACCCTTCTATACTTTATCCCCTGGAACCCCACCTGTGTAATCTGCCAAATCCTCCACACCTTCCACCACTTTCTGAATATTTTCTTCACCCTCTAATGCAGTAGCCTGCTACAGCTCTAACTGAAAACTGAAACCTGCTTTCCTTAGTGCCTTGTCAAGAGGTGGCTGTTTCGTCCCTCTCACTCCTCACATACCACCAGGGGTGGAGTGGGTGTTTTTCATGATCCTTATGGCTGATCACAGTTTTCCTCCCTCGCTCAAAAACCCCAGCTCTTCTAGAAGCCCATGCCCTCCAACTATACCACCCACTATCTCCCTGTGGCAATCATCTGCTAAACTCTCTGACTCCTCTTCATTTATGTCAGACATTAGCACCTGGCTCATTTCCTGGCTCCCTTCCCATTCTACTCCTCCAGTCATTCTTGGTGACTGAATATCCATGTAAAAGTGTGTGTCAAGCACCCTAGCTTCCTGGTGCCTTGACTCCTCCCTTCCAGTACATTCCTCCTCCATTCATCTCAGCACTTCCTCCCTTCATCATATCCTTGCCATCTCCTGGCCAATGACCAATGACAACATGTGAACTCACTCCCAGCATCCATCTCCCTGACCACTTCCTTCTCAACCAACTAGCCCCACTCCAACCATCTTCAACCCCATGGGCGCCCCCCATTCAGAGGCCCCAGCACTATTTCTCTGTCCTTTGCATCTGTCAGAGAACTGGCAAGGAAGAGATGGCATGTTCAGAAGGGTTTGGCTGGAGAGGGTTTAATGAAGTGCCTGTTCACAGGGGAGTGGGCAGGTGGAGGGAACAAACAAGAGATAGGGAAGCCCCTGATGATTAGGAATGTGGGAAGCCATTATCACCAACAGCCTGAAGAAGCCACGGAGAGAATGAGCTCACTGAGCCCAGGGAGAGCTGAACAGAGAAGGGTCACCTGACAAGGGCTAAGACCACAGAAAAACACAGCCACTGCCAGAAACAGTAAAGCAAGGAGGAATCAACGGACAATAAATCCCCAAAACTCTCCTGATTTTTGGCCAGTGCCTTCCCTCAGCCGAATTCAACTAGAAGTCAGAGGGCAAGGGAGCCTCAGGGATGCAGTCTGCAGAGGTTTGCCTTTCACAGCAGAAAAAGGTGGACTATAGGCTGGAGGGTGATAGAGAATTGGAGCACAACCGTGCCTAACAGCGTTCACTTCATTAGCCCTGACCTCATCTGCAAACATCCTCAACATCCTTGCCCCTCTACCACACAGGCCTTGCAAAACCCAGCATTCTGTCTTCTCCACACCTGGATCCAAGTAGGGGGTGTGACTGGAGACAAGTGTCACTTTGAATTTATGTCCACAAGTCTCAAGGAGGCTCTGCTTTCTGATTATGTTCCCCCAATCCATTCACCCTCCCACAGTTTTACCCCATCCTCTCTTCAAACTCCATTGTACCATCCCCACTACTGATGATTTCGTTTCATATTTTACTGAGAAAACAGAAGCGATCAGAAGAGGTACAAAATACAACTGATTTATCATAGACTTAAATGCAAAAGCTAAAACTGTAAAGCTCTTAGAAAAAAAAAAAACAGGAGTAAATCTTTGTCGCCTTCCGTTAAATAATGATTTTTTTTTCAAGATTTTATTTATTTATTTGAGAGAGAAAGAGCAGAGTAAGAGAGAGAGCACAAGTGGGGGGGTAGGCAGAGGGAGAAGCAGGCTCCCCGCTGAGCAGGAAGCCCATGCAGGACTCCATCCCAGGACTCTGAGATCTTGACCCAAACAGAAGGCAGATGCTTGGGACTCCATCCCAGGACTCTGAGATCTTGACCTGAGCAGAAGGCAGATGCCTAACCGAGCAGAAGGCAGATGCTTAACCGACTGAGCCACCCAGGCGCCCCTAAGCAATGATTTCTTAGTACACAAAGAGCAAATGATAAAAGAGAACACAGATCAATTGGGCTTCATCAAAATTAAAAACTTTTGTGCTTCGAAGGACACCATCAAGAAAGCAGAAAGACAGACTAGGAGAAAATATTTTCAAATCATGTATCTGAAAAGGGACTTGTATCTAGAATATATTTTAAAAACTCGTAACTCAATGAATTAAAAAAAAAAAACCCAATATACAGCAAAGGATTTGAAGAGACATTTTTCCAAAGATATACAAATGGTTAGTAAGCACATGAAATGGCTACTAATCAACAGCATTAGTAGAGAAATGCACGTCTAAAACACAATAAGATACTACCTTACACCACTGGGATGGAAAAAATTAACCGACAGAAACTAACAAATGTTGGCAAGTTTGAGTAGAAACTGGAACCCTCAGACATTGCAGTGGGGTTGTAAAATGGTGCAGCCCCTTTGGAAATCAGTCTGATAGGCCCTCAAAAAGTAAAGTATAAAGTTGCCATGTGACCAGCAACTCTAGGTATACACCCAAAAGAACTGAAAACAAGCATTCATATAAAACTTACACACTAATGCTCACAGCAGCATTGCTCACAATCACCAAAAGGTGGAAACAAACCAAACGTCTATCAACTGATAAACGGATAAATAAGATGTGATATAGCCATACAATGGATATTATTTTGCCCATAAAAAGGAATGAAATACTGATACGTGCTACAATATAGATGAACCCCAAAACCCTCACTTATCTTAAGTGAAAGAAGCCAGTCACAAAAGACCACAATTCTATGTATGTGAAATGTCAGAATAGGCAAATCTAGAGAGGCAGTAAATCAGTGGTTGCCAAGGGCTGCCAAGACCGTGAGGGAAAATGGAGAGTGAGTGGTAACATGTACAGGATTTTTTTGGAGGGTGATAAAAATGCTCTAAAGTTAGAATATGGGGATAGCTGCACAACTTGGTGGTTCTAAGAACCACCAAATTGTAACTTGAAATAGGTGAACTGTGTGATATAAATTATAAAAAATATAAAATTTTAACTTAAAATTTTAAAATTTGTTTTCAAAAAATACAATTGAATCCTAAGAGACAGAATGCCTAGATCAGTCATAAAAGTCAGCGAAGGTTTCAAAGAGATCACACATGAATGAGACTTGAAGGCACAGTGGGAGTATGCTGGGTGTATGAAGAAGATAGGAGAAAACATTCCAGACAGAAGCAGCAACAGGCTAAAGCTGCAGGGAGCGTGGGAAGAGAGCGTGATCTAGAGTGTACAGTATGTGGAGTTGGAAATGCTCACACTGAGATTGGGTTTGAGCCTGTCTGGGTAGGCAGGGTCAATTCACGAAGGGCTGTTTTGTCCTGCTAGATTTCCATGAAGGAAGAGGAAAACCACCAAAAAATTTTGAACCTGTTAGATGCATCATTCTAACGTAAAAACTGAAAGGTGATTTGGAGTTAAGTGAAACTAGTAATCATTTGACCAGAAAGGAGAACAGTAATTGCTAACGTGTAGAGAGCCCTAACTCTCTACTAAGCACTTTCCTGGACTCATCTCATGCAATTGCATTGCATTTAATTACAATCATCTTCTCTTTAATAGATGATAGCTTCACAGCTTGGTCCCTTGCCTCCTTTAAGGTCTTCAGGCAAATGTAACTTCCCTGTGCTTTCCCTATTCCCTTTGTTTATTTTTCTCCAGGACCCTCATCTCAACTTAACATGTTTCACTTTCTAAATCCTGTTTAAAGATCCTCTCCCCTCTCTAGAATGAAAGCTCCTAAGAACAGGTTAATTTGTATTTTTCCTTCAGTTCTGTATCCCCAGTGCCTAGCATATGAGTAGATGCTCAATATTTTTTGAATAAATGAATACATAAATAAATGAGGAAATCGAGTCTCAGAGATTAAGTAATTTGTCCCACCGTCATTCAGGTAATAAGTGGCAGAATTCTGACTCAAAAACCCATCATCTTAAACCACTCAACAATTCAACAAAGTTGTAATTTTGTAGGTAAAAGGTAAGTCTCCTCCTGAGGCTGTGGCAGTGGAAAGGGGGAAAAGGAAGCGTGAATTACCTGAGCGTAATAATAGTTTGGACGTGGAAGGATGCTGAAAGGTATCAGTCCAGGATGATTTTGGTTTCTAGATTTGGCAAATGGGTAAAGAGTGGTGCGATTTAAGAGAAAGAAGACAAAGGAGTCTTGGTTTGGATAGAAAGATGAAAGAGGAAGATCTGTCTAGTCCACAAACCTTTTTTACCATCTCTCTAGATTACTAAGAAATGTTGTTAGTAAGTATCAAGCAAGTAAACCCAAACTAATCCTGATGGTCTTCAGTGAGAGGCAGGGAGGGATGGGGATGGGTAGGTGGGACGGAATAGGAAGTATTCTTTTTAAAAAAGAAAAAATAAACTAGTTCAAGCTTTCAACAAATGGTTTGTTGTTGTTGTTGTTTTTAGTCCCCAGGAGTGCTTAAAATAACTCTGAAGTTAATTTTTAAGATGCTAAAACTGAAGCCTGGGTGGCTCAGTCAAAAAGCGTCTCTCTTCAGCTCGGGTCATGATCCCGGGGTCCTGGGATCGAGGCCCGTGGGGCTCCCTGCTCTGCGGGAAGCCTGCTTCTCCCTCTCCTGCTCCCCCTGCTTGTGTTCCCTCTCTGGTTGTCTCTCTCTCTCGCTCTGTCAAATAAATAAAATCTTTTTAAAAATAAATAAATAAATCTGAAGAATGCATCTTACCCTTGTGTAGTTAGGCTGTATAGTCCTATGTTTAGATTACCGTGGTGGTGGCTTTGGCTTACAAGAACCGACAATCTATATAGAAGCAAGCACTGACACCCAAGCCCAGAGTGGCCAGGATGGCGGGAAGTCATGCTTGCGGCCACGCACGCCACAGCACGTGGCCATTCTCGACCTGCCGCGGAGTCAGCCTGTTAACTAGGCGCAGGAAGCTCGCGCCTCAAACGAACGACTCCCAACCTCCATCCTGAAGCGGAGCAGTGGGCGTGCCGCTCCTATTCCTTACCCAGGAGGGGCCGTGGGTCGACGGCCTCCGGTCCCCAGGCGGCGCTGTGGGCTCGCAGGGGCTACCCCGGCACGAGCGAGCCCCGTCTCCCCGGTGCGCATGCTCACCCCCGCTGTGGGCTTGCCTTCTTTTTTTTTCTTTTTCTTTTTTTTTTTTTTCCGGGCGGCCCCGGCGGCTGCGTACTGGCTGTGGGATGGGAAGTGAAGCCCCAGCGACCGGCAGCGGCGGGGCTGTGAGGAGCAGTCAGGGGGAGGCGGCGGCGGCAGCTAGTCGGTGAGCAGCTGGAAAGAGCGGAGCCGGGGAGGAGCACCTGCAGGCACGGGCGGTGGCTTCACCATGGCGATTCGCAAGAAAAGCACTAAGAGCCCCCCGGTCCTGAGCCACGAATTCATCCTGCAGAATCACGCGGACATCGTCTCCTGTGTGGCGATGGTCTTCCTGCTGGGGCTTATGTTCGAGGTGAGTCCGCCCCGCGCCCCAACCGCCCCACCGCCCCAACCGCCCCACCGCCCCTTCCTCGGGCTGCCAGCCTCGGCCCCTCGGCCCCGGACCGCGGGGGACCGGACCGGGGGGAGCTGCCGGCCCCCGGACCCCTAGGTACAGGCCTGCCCTGCCCGGCCGTGCCCCGCGCCGGCCTCGGGATGCCGAGCCCCGGCAGGCCTGGCCGCCGCCTGCAGGAGCGGGGGGCCGCCGCGTCGCTCCCTTGGCCGCCGCGCACACCCAGCCCCCGCCCCCTTCCCCGTCCCCGTCCCGTCCCCTCCCGTCGGCCGCGCCGCGCAGTTCCTGGTTCCCGCGAAGGGTTACGTGGCAGCCGGCGAGGGGCCGGCGGGCGGCGAGAGCGGCCCCTGCGCTGCCGAGCTGGCTCCGGGCAGGCGGGGGGTGGCCGGCCCTGGGCGCCGAGTGCGTCGGGCCGGCGAGGGCTGGAGATTAGTGGAGGCCAGGCCTCGGGGGGCCCCTGCAGGACCGAGTGTGGGATGAACGCGAAACCGACGGAGCCGGGCGTCCGCTCCCTATTTGAAGGGCGGTGGCCGCGGGGCAGCGAGTGATCGCCACGAGTTCGGCACACTGAGGCACACCCGATTGTTTTCATTCTTCTCTCCCAAACTGGTATTATTGCCACTTCGCGAACTTTTTGCCGTGCTCTTGCTTTTCCCTTAGAGAAACAAGGTCTGATCCATAAATCTCGCTCTGAACAGCAGTGCCAAGAAGCCGAGTGATTTTGTTTCGTGAAATAGGAGAGGATGGAAATGTCAGGAGTGTGTAAATTCTCTTCCCACATATCTAGTATTTTGATGACTTATTTAACAGCTGTTGAATGTGGGTAATAAACTTTGCAAGGTGAACGTGTATATAACATCCTACGGTTTTCTTTCCCTCGCTCCTCAGTACACACGCCATTCCTTCTTTTCCTTTTAAATTTTTCTGTATAGACGCTATGCCCCATCAAATACACTGATTATTTTACTTTTGTATTGTTTGTCTCTCTCCTCATGAAATATAACCTCAGAGAGGGCAGAAACTTAGAGGTTTTATTACTCTGTTTCCAGTGCCCAGAATAGCACCTGAGACGTAGTAGGTGCTTAAAAAATATTTGTTGGATGAATGACATTAAAAATTCTTGAGGAAAACTGGTAGAATGAGACTGCCAGTGACAGCCGAATACTTTTTTTATGAATAAGATGAATAAAATTTTTAGGTGGACTCCACGTGGGTTTTAAAATCTTATTAGGTAAGTTAACATTTTGTCTACTTTTGCTTCTCTTCTCAAAGGCTTTTCTGGATCTAGACAGATTTTGTTTGTTTGTTTGTTTGTTTATTATTTTATTTATTTTTTTTATTCTTATGTTAATCCCCATACATTACATCATTAGTTTTAGATGAAGTGTTCCATGATTCATTGTTTGTGCATAACACCCAGTGCTCCATGCAGAATGTGCCCTCCTCAATACCCACCACCAGGCTAACCCATCCTCCCACCCCCCTCCCCTCTTAGACAGATGTTTTTATTCCTGACAGTGTCATTTATTCCACTTAGCCCACAGCTAAGGAGGTAGTTGGTATGGTGGAAGGGAAGGTAGAAGGAAACTAACGTATGTCCCACGCTTTTAGGCTGGCCCTGTGCTACTTACCTATTGGGTGACCTAAGTCGAAGCCTCAGCTTTTCAGTGTAAGGAAATAACAGCACCTGTGGTATTCTCAGTCATTGTTAGGTTACAGGGATCAGATAATATGGTGTGACTGCATCTGATGGTTGTTTAAAGTACTATATGAGTGTATCATATTAAAAATGCAATTCTAAACACTTGTACTCTCTGAATTTTGTATTTATACTTTCTGTTTTGATATTAGAAGTAATACTTTTGTATGTACAGTATATTCAATTTTGTAAAACTTTTCATAACCCATCTCCATATGGTAAGAATTCCTGACTTTAAAAATAGGATCTAAGAATAAAATTACCTGCAGGGTATATTTGCAGTGCTTTGAGTGAAATGGAATATTAATCAGAAATCCCGACACTTAGAAATGGTATAACTTTGCTTTTATGTGAAAGTTTTCATAGTCTCTTACCGCGTTTCTGTGGAAGTTCACCACCTATACCTTGCCTCACGTAGCAGTGATTTCTTTTTTTTAAGTTTTTATTTATTTAAGTGGGGGCTGTTTAAGTGGGGGGGGGGAGCAGGGGGAGAGGGACAAGCCGACTTCTGCTGAACATGGAGCCTACCACGAAGCTCAGTCTCACAACCCTGAGATCTTGACCTGAGCCAAAATTGAAAGACTCTAAACCACAGAGCCACCCAGGCACCCCATGTCAATGATTTTTTTAATAGTGAGTGGATTTTTGCTTCTATGTAAATCTGTAAAATTTATAAATCTAAGTAAACACAACAAAGATCTAAATAGAAGTTTTTAGTTCAAAAGAGAACATTAAAGTAATATACAGAAGAAGGAAGTTTGTGCAAGTTGTACCATGTTATCTACATATCAGGGAAAAATTGACGAAATTAGTTTAGCTATTTGACTTTTAAAATAATTGCTGCTGAACCTCAAAATTAACATAACTATAGAATTACAGTATTTGCGTTAGAATAATAGAGAAGTTGATGTTTTTGCAGTAGAACCTGTTAAGCCCTTTGTGTGAATATATTGAGAAAATGTCAGAGGATTTACGAAGAAATTGACAAAGTGATAACAGATACTGTATTACTAACCAAAATGAAAAATCAATATAAATATACTGTAGAAGTGTAGATGCTGTAGCTAAAGGGGTCCGTGTTCAAGTTAGGGCTCTGCAGCTTGCTCACAGGGTGACCTAGGGCAGATCATTTTAACTTCTCAGAACTTGTTTCCTTTCGGCAAAACAGGGCTCATTGGGTTACTTGGAGAATTAAATTAACTAATGTGTATCATGGCTTTAGTTCAGTGCTTGGTTTACAGGAGCCATGCCATAAATAGTAGCTATTATTATTCATTAGATATTTATCAAAGTTGAAAATAGAAGACAGCATTTTTAGGTGAGAGAAGGGTCCCATGGTTAGCATCTAAAGAGATTATATGTAAAAAGGTTAATTAAAAAAAAGTAGTCTGTTTTGGAGAAATCTAAGTTTAATTTCTGGGAAACTTCATGTTACCAAGAATTCCTTGTAAATTTTGAAATCATGGTTTTAATACAGTCAGTATCTGTCTACATAATGCAAATCATGATCTTTAGTTAATGGCTTCCTATTTGAGTTGGGAAAATTTGAACAGTTGAAAAATAGAAGGGTGTTTGGGAATCCAAGTGAGGATAAAAGGAGTGAGGAGTTAGGGGTTTCCAAGAGGAATATTTTCTTCTGGAAGGGAGCTTCTTTGCAGGAGTCTAGGTGGTTTGTGCCGTGCAGATTTGGGAGAACATTTACAATTACAGCTATCTTGGAACTGTTTTGGAGGTTTATTGTATTTTTAAGGATGACATGCCTTAATGCTAACATTTTCTTTCCATCTCACTTATTTTTTTTTTTTTAAAGATGTTATTTATTTAATTGAGAGAGAGAATGAGAGAGAGAGCACGAGAGGGAAGAGGGTCAGATGGAGAAGTAGAGCCCCAGCTGAGCAGGGAGCCCGATGCAGACTCGATCCCGGGACTCCAGGATCATGACCTGAGCCGAAGGCAGTCGCTTAACCAACTGAGCCACCCAGGCACCCCTCCATCTCATTTATTAAGAACTTAATTTTATTTAAGCTTAAGGTGATGGGGAAGTGAAATGTGATATTCAGAAATTGTCTTTATCTTTCGGGCATATAGTCAATGTAGTAAATCACACCTTCCTCTGACAAGTACGGTATAATTTTAACAAGAAAAAAACATCAAGCCCAAACTGGTGACCTCTTGATTAAGGAAACATTAGGATATTCATGATACTACATACAACATAGAATTAGATAATGCCTTAGACTTTGTGGAACCTGTTCAAGATGTATCTGAGTAAGTTTCATTCTTGTAAATGGAAAGCAGTGTTATAAATGTCCAAAACTGTCATAAACTCAGTTATGTTTACTTTTGAGTACATTATATATTTCTGCAGCATGTTTTATTCCAAATTAATTTGCCTTACTATTAATTGATTGTAATATTAGGTGAAAGCAATGCTTGCTGAGGTGTGAGGCTTAGGAGGCCTGGAAAAGCTAGTAGCATGATTTTTCTGTAAACTTTTTGAGGTATGTAGTTTGTATTTTTCCTCTTGCTCTACTTTTAATGACACATGCTAAAGTAGCTGGAGGCCAGATTGTAATTATTTGGAAGCCTACCATAGAAAGATAATCTAATTTTTGTTGCTTTTGGTATTTGATATTAAATTTATCTGAAGAATTTTACTTGTCATTTGTAAAGGACTCTTGAGAAGTTTTTTTAGCTATGATAGTGGTGACGTCATATTCTAAACTAGAAACAGGTGTGTGGAGAACGTATGTATGTGTTAATATATGTGGAGTCTAAACAAAGATATCAAAAAATGAAATTTGGTCATCAGTCAACTTTATTAAAAATAATCACATAAAAGCAGTATTGCCCTGGAAACCCACGCCATCATTCTGCTCTAGTGCATTCATGTGAATGACCCAAATGATAATACCAGAACCCTTGCTGGCCTTTTCTATTCA